CGGGACGGGGTGTCCTGGCGCGCTCCGTGCCCCGCTCCTGCCCCGGGGCGCCCGGCGCTCGCCGTGCGGAAGGCTGGGGTTGGACGCGGTTTTTCACGTTTTCTGGGTTTTTTCTTTTTTTTAACGTGGTGTTCCCATTGTGACGGAGGGCAGGCTTGCAGAGCGGCGTTAAAACAATTGCCTGCAGAGCGCTCTCGGCCTAGCGTGCGGCTTGATACGCGCGCGTTTGGGAAGGAGTAATTCGCTCTCCTTGCACGAAGTTGCTTATTTTTAACGTCGCTGTGGCGTAGCGCCGTGAGCGCTGCCGTTGCCGTGCTAACACGGGAGAAGGTCCTTGCACGGAGCTTGTGAAGTAATCTATTTTAGTTCATCTCTTTCAACTCGCCAAAACACCGTGCAAAATTATTTTAAGGGTTTTACGGCTCGCTCTTGTCGTTTCCTTCAGCTTTTCTTGTCTAGAACTTCTAATAGAACAGGATAACAAGAAGCTACTCCTCCAGAAAAATTACCTGCAATAACGCACAGATTTTTTTTTCAATTTTCAGATAAGGCCTTATTTGTGGTGCTTGTTAGTCAAGAAAAAATGACGTGACTTTCGTGCAAGTTAAGTTTTCTGTTAAGCCTTCGGTTGAGCAGCTCCAGTTACGTATAAAATCTCTTTAGGGTTTGTTTTGAACCATCAAAGAATTACATCTGTCATTATGTGCAGAGCGATACCAGTACTTCTAAGGAACGTTATTCCAGTGATACAGAAACTTCAACCTTATAGTCTTTCAAAGAAAACATTTTCTCTTGTTATACAGTTTTCTCAAGATTCTGCTTCAGGTGTTGTAAATCTGTTATGCCTTAGAGGACTATGTACCAGGTATTGCTGTTGCAGCTTCAAGGTGATCGTACCTGAAAAATTAAATTTGTTTGTCCTTGACTAGTAGCTTTCTAAGAGAAGTCATAGACGTGTAGTATATTTTATCTTTTTTGTGTAAGTGTGTTTGCCATACAGCTTTAGAATGGCAGGGTACAACATAACCGTGTTTTCATCGCTTGTTTCTTTGTATTTCATGCATTAAAGTCTCTAGCTTTCAAGCTGTCTGTACGTCAGAAGCAATTCATCTGAATCACTACAGAAAATGAAACTCAGGAATACATAGTCAAGTAATGCATGATTATTTTGGTAATAGATCACAGCTTAAATGAGATGTAAAAATAAACATTTTAAACAGTTTTGAGAAATTAATTTCAAATTTATTGCATAATTTACATAAGCTATTCTCATTATTGTAATGAAATAATGCTTTCTTTCTAATACCTATCTGAGGAAGAGTTATTTTGCCTTCTATTAAAGGCTCAAATACAGCAAATGCTTAAGCAAGTGTAAAAGTTTCTTTAGCTAGGAAGTCACATGGACTTCACTCTGTCTTCATGCTTGTGTAGCATTTGATACTTCTGTCATGAGCTGGCAATATCTTTTCTTGGAGGACATGGGCGCAGCAATAATAAAGCGATGAATGTTCCCTGGGAATGGGCTGTTAATTTGTTTTTGTCTCTCGAATATCTCAAATGATGTACTGCTTCAGCTCAGCAGACTGCTGCTGGGCCATGTTTTGCTGTCTTGTACTGTCCAGGAGAAGGGAGTTGGTAGGAGTTTGAGCAGTGAACAGGGTCTAAGCAGCAGGCTGGCGGGTCGAAGCAGCCGTGCCTGCTGACAGCTGTGCTTCTGGTGCACGGGCTGCCTGCCGGCGGCCTTCTCGCCTATGATTCTGTTGGATGTACAGAGGGATTAGCCTGAGGGTTCCTCAGCTTAAGTTTGGTGGTGGTAATGGTCTCTCCCTGGACACCATCTTTTCTGGGCATTCCTTAAAACATTATGTGTGTGTATTCTTGCAGACTTACGTATTGACCTTAATAAAATGTATGGGTTTTGTTTAAAGCTAAAAAGATGACAGTTTGGAACTGGATTGCTTCTTTTAGAGTAATTTGGCTTCATTTAGAGTGCGGGATGTTCATCTTTCCTTGCTGTTGCATGGAAGTCTTGGCCTTAAAAGTTTTGGGTTAAAACATGCTCAGCACAGGTGGAGTCTTTTGAGAAACACTGTTATTAAATTCTGAGGAGTCTTTAGTTGGCAGTGTGAAACTATTTGTTTTCCAAAGCGTAGGGCTCAGCTGCATTTGGATGAGTTTCCACACACAAAGCGAACAGCACTTGCCTGATAATCAGGGCAATTCTTCCAGTTTCAAGTGTCATAATGGACAGAATGCAAATACGGGGAAGATCTAACTTTTCTCAGTGCTCTTGTAGTCACATCCCTTCATTACTCTTTTCCTGTCTGCATGTTGACTTGTACCCTCTTCCTTGATCATCCCCACGATTTCTGCTTCCCATGCTATCTTTTGTACCTCCTGCTGTCTCTGACGTGTACATACGTACCATAGCATCCCAGGCCAACCCTTTGTTTGCCTTTCTTGCCACTGGCTTTTTTCCTGTATTGTCACGTCTCTCACACATTTTTAAGGCTCAACAGCATGCTTTCTGCTTGTTCTGCATTAATAGATGGTCAGTTTGTTCTTTCATCTCTTCTGTGCTGCAAGGAAATTGGTGCACCTGGTAAAGAGAGCATGAATTGGGTAGCCAATTCCTGTGCCTTGTCCCACAAAAAATCCCAAAAGATTGAAAGAAGGTTTCTGCTTAGTTTATGGATCCCTAAGATGGATCATGATCTGAACAGATGGATCCTCTTCAGGAATCTGAGAATTCAGCTCTGAAATGCAAGTCCCTATAAACGGATGTGTGCATAGGTACTGTTCTGAGGATGGAGTGAGGAATCTGAGGGAGGTGCCTGTCCATGGGCACCACATTTCTGGGGGAGGAGGGGAAGGAAGCCTTAGGACCCATCATGGCACAATGGGGTTTATGGGGTTCTGCCTGTACCTTAAGTCTGTAACTTGATCTGCTCTTAGTTGTGTTTACTTAAGGGAATATGGTTTTGGTCTGCTCACTCTCTGCAGTATGCATCAGGAATTGACCAGTTACTCAAAACCAGAATTGGACTAAATTAGCAAATGCTTCCAGTGACTTAGTCTGCTAAAACTTTCTGGGTTACACTGCTTTTTTAATTGTATAGTGGGATTGTACTTTGCTGTACCAAGATGATGCTTGTTAGATAAATGAAGTTCTCAGTCCAGTAAGTTCTGCGATACTCAAAGCTGACATCAAAGTTACACTTACAATTACTTAGTCCTTCCCTCAGTTTGTATTTTATTGTCTGCTGAATGTTTTCCTCTGTATACGCTTCTTGAGGGGGAAATTGTGTTACCTGCTTAATGCTCTTGGACTTCATTTCTGATGACAGACTTCTCTAGAATTGGAAGATGGGTCTGTAATTGCAAGTTAGCTGGTGTTGCCCATATCTTAAGTATATTCATACTGAGCTAACATGGTATTACACAGAGTTTCTTAGAATATATTTAGATGTACTGTTTTTCAGTTTACATTTGTGATCTGTTTTTTTGCAATTCAGGGTAAAGGTTGGCAATTCAGTAGGCTGTCCGTTTAGTTCCTGAAATACAAGTATAGACTAAAACACTTCTGTTAACTGTCATGGCTAATACTGATACATCTGTAATGTAGTTATCAGATTACTAATTAACTCATAACCAGACAAAACAACCCACTCAAAATTCCCCATTTTGTTGGCAGTCTAAGCAGATTTGCAGGATTTGAAGGGGCACAGCCAGGATTAATTATTTTGGTGATGTAAATTAGACACTTTTGTGATTTCTTGACAATTAAGAGAGAAGTCTGTTTGACATGAAAGTGAAACATTGATAGAAATAGTTGGTCTCAATTTCTTTCAGTTTTTTAGCTGTTAAGTATTCACCTATTCACCTAATGTTCCTTGTTTTATTTAAAACACCAATATAAATGGAGGTGTTATGATTTAAGGATTAAGCAGCCTCCTGAAGTGCTTCAGAAGTTAACTATCTTTTTTTCTTCTTTTTAAAAACTGCAGATAGGCATTACCGCTCATTTCTAGAAGTAATTTGAATACGATCTGACATGCATCATCTGGATGCCTTTTTTATATAGCCGGTATTTTGTGTATATACACTTGATGGTAAAAAACAAAAGCCAGTAGTTTTAAAAACACATAGGTTCATTGGTTAAGTGCTTTAAGTCTGTTTCTCACTTTGTGACTTTCGGGGGGGGGGGAATCCATTTGGAATGAGATCTAGTGCTTTATCTCACTAGCATGTGTGCTGAAAAATTACTTAAAGGATTTGGGGTTTGGGTTTTTTTTCAGCTTAGTTAATCATGTTCTAAGTTTTTCAAGTATAAAACAGAAAATTAGATGACCTACCATAGCTTCAGCTTTTTTCTGAATTCAGGCCCAACATTCAGTTTCTGAGTGTGCACATTATAATTATTTATCCTTACTTTTTTTGACTATTAAAACAAAAATAATTTATTACCAGTCAGTCTGCAATAAAGAAATGGGGTGTTTTTTAGAAAACAAGGTATGCCTGAGCATTGATGATACAAGTTTGGCTGGGAGAGAAGAAATGTATCTTAACTTTGAGCAAGGAATACCATATGAGTTGAGAGAAACTTGTTGGCTTGTTTTGGTAAGTGAGTTACATTGTTCTGTTGTGGTATGCCTGCAACCCATTCCATGCACACACACACAAGTATTATGAATGATGCATAGGTGTTTTCAGTCATATTGAATTTGATGTTTTAGTACAGATTATATGGCCCTTTCTCATGCTAAACCTATATGGCAATGTACTAAGAATAACTGTCTCATTAGTGCATTGATCATTGACCAGGTGCATTAGTATACTTTTTTGTACTTTAATAAAGCTTTTGGAATCCTGATCTCTGTACCTTTGCAAACAGTGCTACATGGATCTCAGTTGCTTGTTGCCTTCCCTGCAGGATCTTTGGAATCTGATCCCTCGAAAGACTCCCAAATCTGTTTCAAATCTCTGGCTCAGGAGACCGTGCTGGTCATTGGGGTAGTTAGTTAGAAGTAGTGCTGTTGTAGTAGTGCTGCCCAAGGCAAATGTGATCATTGAACTAAGCATTTGCTGGTGAGGTGCTTGTCCCTGAGCTGCAGCATGAGTTTAATTAGCTTTCTGTCAGCACTGCTGACAGTTAATATACTGATGGAACTACTCTTGACCTCCATTGATTAACCAGTAATTTCTTCTCTAATACATTCAAGAAACATGAAGTTAGCAGTCGTATTTGGGATCAACCTGAGTCTTTTCCAAGCGTGTAGGACTTCTTGGTGGGTGGCTTTCTGATCTGTCTGCATTTTTTTAAGTGCCCTATGTTTGAAGATCACAGCATCCTTACCACTCCCACAGTGTGGAATTGCACACATATGTGTAATCTTGTAATATTAGTTAGAGTAAGGATTTGTAAACATTCTTTATTTGCACTGGTTAATCTAATTACTTTTTTTTTATATAAAATGCAAGCATTGATCTCTGACAATACTTTTAACATTCGCCATTTGTAGATGGGATTCACAGTGTAAACTGAATGTATGGTGATGACTTTGGGGGAAGAAGACTGCTGGAACAAATTAATTATGTGAGGCTAAATGTGGTTCTCACTGCTCACACTGAAGTCAGAAGAGTTGTGCTTGGTTATGGCAGTGATAAATTTGGTTTTGCATTTATATGTTCTTTTTTAAGAGATATCAAACTCTGTGGCAGTGAATTAGTCTTGAACTGCATTGTAATCAGGATGTATCTCTGGTGGAACAGAAAGGTTGAAATACTGCAAAAAGAGTAAAAAGGAGCCTTGAGTTTGACTGCAAACCTCTGCTTTGGGCAGCATGAGTCTCTGCAAGTTAGCTGTTCTGCTGCTTGGAGTGTGTACATCATGCTTATGCAGTTGACAGTGCTGTCAGTCTCGATTAGGCTCTTCTCCAGGGCCAGGGTTAGAGCCCGTGGTTCATAATTCACAACACTTTGCTATCTAGAAAATAGTTGTGTAATTTGCTATTAAATTGTGTATCTTACCTCTTTATCTGGATCCAACTATTGTTACCAGATTCTTTAGTAGAAGTTTTGTTCTGTATTTCAGCTTTGTTTCCATTTTATACCGTGGATGATTAATGTGGTGGAAATTGCTGTTTAATTATATTTTGCTTGCCTTTACAAGAGACTGGAAAAAATACAGTGAAAGAAGATTATAGGAGAAAGCATGTAGAAGTTTAGAAATGCCTAACATTAAGTAGTTTATATTTATCCACTAAAAGTCAATCTGACCAATCATAGCATGAAATCCATGTTTTGGTGCAGTGGTAAAATACTGAAAAAGCTAAGGGCTGTTAATGAAGAAAGAAATCCATGTCTCATCTATTGAAGCATTTGATCAAAGCATCCACAGGATCTAGATCTCATTTCTGAGCCTGCTGCAGATTTCTTTTGTAATACTGTAAGAGATTACCATACACGTACATACGGGAACCAAAGTAAGATTTTAGAGAGCCCTAGTTCTGCTGTGTTTTTATTTCTGAGCTTAGAGCTGCTGAATGACTTTATGTAATTAGTAAGCTATACACTTGTGTCCTCAAAAAAAACTTTGTCTGGACTAGTCAGTTTTTCAGTCTATGCCAGTCACTTTTTGCACTGAGACCCAGAAGGCTGTAATGCATATTAATTATCATTTGAAGTGTATTTACCCAGAATGTTAATTGTAGGTACTAATTTTGATTTTTCACAAATGTTTGTTAATCAGACTAGTTTGGGGAAATTACTCATAGTTGCAATCATATCAGTTGTTTAGGATCCTAATGCAGTCAGTATTTAATTCAGAAGAACCTTAATTATGTTACTGTGCTGACATACTTGAACTGGTTTTGGGATCCAGCTTTGTCAAACGTGGGAATGCAGTTTCCTAAAAATCCTCAATGAAAGTTTCAGTATTGTGGGGTTATGTGTCATTTGCCATTTTACTTTTCTGGATTGGTTTTTATTTGTTGTTTTTATAAGTTTTGTACGTTATTTAGAAGTGTGTTACAAATAAAATTGAAGTTTCTTTTCAAATGAAATAAATGGATATTATTTCAAACTTCTCAGTGCTGTCTGCACAAGGAGGGTGAACAATCACAAGGTTACTTAATATCTGGAGTAGCTTTTTTCCTGTCTTTCTCAGATCTTTCTTCCTGCACATTCTAGATTGCATTTTATAACCATTAGTTTTCCTCCATGACTGCTATTACAATTTATTTATTCCATTTCCTGTTAATCATCCTCTAAGCGTGATCTTTTTTTTCTTTAAGGAGTTTCTGCTACTGTCACTGCAGGTTTTTTCCTTTGTCCGGCAATACAGTGGTATAGCCATTCTTTAAATGGCAAATTCCTGCTATTTTCCAGGTGTTACTTGCCACATTCTCCACTATATGGGGTTTCCTCATGCTGTCCTCTCAGCTGCCAGAGTTCCCAAGTACCCCAAACCCTGCTCCATGGGAGCATGCCCTCTACTAGGTCTTGCTTTGCTTTTCAGCTGCCTAAATCCCGCCTGCTGTTTCTTAGTTGTTCGATTCCTAGTTTTCAGCAGAGACTCCTGTTTCCAGTTGCTAGATTGAGTTTATGTAAAAATTTCTCTTTTAACATTGCATCTTTTCTCCAAAACAAGTGAAAGCACCCAGAAGATTCTATTTGTTTGAGTATTAGTGGAGGGAAAAACACAGGAGGTGCTCTCTAGATAGGCAACTTGATGAAATCTTCATGAAAAATCCTTTATTTTTAACCAACCTACCCACCGCCCCTGGTTTCTGAGTGTTGAGAATTTAAAGCATGCTTGAGTTCACAGTTTTTTCTGTTCAGAGAATTTGGTGGGGGGTGGTGTTGGGGGTTTTTTAATAAAAAATTGTACCTATGTGCCCTGCTGGATGGCCTATTTTATCTGTCAGTGTTATGCTGGGGGTTTACATTGCTGGTGCAGCTTTTGTCAAAAAGCATAATAAAGTCAGCAATGCGCATCACTAACTCACGGCTTTTGCTTTGTAACTAACAGTGCAAGACTTGTTTAAGCATCACTTCTTGCAACTGGCTGTTGCTTCCTTCTATCAGATGCTGTTTTCAGTTCAGAGATTTTTTTCAGCCTAACCGTATTCGTCTCAGGCTAATTTTTTTTGTGGGAAGTATTTTAACCATCTTAAAGAATGGTAAGATTTTCCCTGCATGAATACTATAGGAGTGTTTCAGTGACTCATCATTTCAGGAATGCAATATGCATTAGTGTCCTTGTGAAAGTCTTCCCAAATATCATCATTAACGTGCCTTTGAAATTGCAACTTGCGTAAGTCAAGTCTCAAGTTTTCACTTCAGTGAGTACCTCATGACTAAGCCTGTATTTGTGTCTTTTCTGTAGGACAGCTCTTGAGATTAAGCAGAACACACGTGCATCAGTCTTGTTGGGCAGCCATGCAGGCCCCACCCCAGGGTTCACATATGTTCCTAAAAATGGATGCTTTCAGCTGCTTCTTAACTAATGAGGTGCAAAATTTGAAGCAGGTAAAGGAAATCTTTCTCTCCCAGGTTCATGCTGACAAAATTCCTGGCAGACAGGAGGTTTAAAGAAAAAGCTTAGTGATGCAAATGCACAGAAATAAAAGCAATGATGTGGATTAGGGAAAGAAGCTGATGAGATTTGGATTGGAAGAAGGATGAAGACAAATTTGCTGGAAGCTGAGGAGAAAGCAGCATATAAGCCAGTTAGCAGAAAAGGGGGGGAAGACAGTTACTAAAGCTGAGGTAAGGGAAAAGACCCAAGTTGGATGAAAACAGGCTGGTTTCAAAAAAACAAGACAAATGAATAAAAATGTCATAGGAGACTAGATTTGCAGGGTGGATGATGTACAAACGGTATGGTCATGGTGTTTTAAATGTCTGCAATATCAAAATTACTAGGTATTATAGAACAGTTTAAGTTGGAAGGGACTTCCAGAGGTTATGTAGTCCAGCTCCGATCAAGGCAGGTCTGATTAGACCAGGTTGCCCAGGGCTGTGTCATGTTGAGTCTTGAATGCCTACAAGGATGGAGAGTCCATAACCTTTCTTTGCAATCTGTTCCTGTATTTGACCACTCTTACAGAGAAAAAAAAAGGTAACACTGCAGGAGCAGTATTTCTGTGATAGCCTGACCCCTTTCTCCACAACATAGGCCAACTTCATGTCATCTTTAGTTCTTTCCCCATCCTCTTCCTCAGAGCTCATAGCCCTGTCTGGTTAGCCTATCTTCTCCACACGGGAGGAAGAGGAGAGGCTGAAAGTGAGCAGCACATCTGCTTTTGGCTGAGGGTACTCCTCCCTGCACAGCAGAGTAACAGAGCAAAACTGCTGCATCACCAAAGAGTGAGTGAAAGCTGGGGTTTTGCTGTGTGGAATGGTTCCAGTGCTACAACTTCCACTAGAGGGGATGTACTTCTGAGATGGGTCTGAACATGAACTGTCTTGAGACAAAGAGGCAGGAAGGTGATAGGCAATGGTGTGATGGACATTTAGAGCAGACCAGCAGTAAGAGAAGACCTGGGGACTAGTTGCAGAAGGAGTTGGTGTAGACATGGGAGTATTTTAGATTATTTTGACAAGAAGGATGGGATTATATTAGGGAAGAGGGATGTGCTGGAAATTTGGTACCATGATAGAACTGGCTGAAGAAGGAAAGTGGTACTTCAAGGAGAAGGGATGAAGCTGAGGATAAGAAGCTAGTGGAAGGACAGAGGACTGGGGAGAGGATATATTGGAAGGGGTTCATTTTAAAGGAGTCAGAATTGGGAGAAAACAGCAACACAGTCTGTGTAAATGACAGCACATGATCGTCCAGATGATCTGGACTAGAGGGAAGTAGTGAACATTCTGCTGTGTGCAGCAGTTCACTCTTTTTTTTTTTCAGTGTGTGATAATTATTAATCAGCCACACTACAAGAACAAATACTGTAAAATAATTTAAACAAATACTTTTGTTCCTTTGGACCTTGAATTTATCTTGCATTAGATTTCTTTTTCTTCAAAAATAGCCATTGACCCTTCAAGCAATTGGTTTTGCTCTGACTCTTTCAGGACTTTGCAGTTGTCTGCATTGACTAGCTTCCTCTCTACTTCCCCAAAGTTGGGAGAAGAAGGATAAGCTCTGGAGGAAGGGCATTATTCTATTTTGAAGGCAGATAGTATATTAAAGATTATGGGGGCTTCTTAAAAGATACTTTCTCTAAGAGGGAATACTCTGAAGTAGACCTGAGCTGAAAGGCCCTTGATGTGCAGTCCCTGCTGGATTTGGAATTGTTTCAGAATGGAGTTCTAGTCAAAACCAATGGTTGTGTAGCCTTTCTTCTCCAATGTGTGAAATGGTCTAGCTGCTTTGCAGTCTACTTCCATGAGGTGTCCTGAAAACTGAGTGAATGGAAAACATAGGCAATGCAGAACACTGTTAGCAGTTAAGAAGACAGACAACCTCTGTGCACCACTAGCATCTAATACCATACTTACTTAATTTGACTTGCTACAAGCTGGCAGTACCTCCAGAGAAGCAGTCCTTGCAAACTGGTCTGGAATAAAACTTTTTTTGGTGCTAGTTTATTTTTTTAACTGCATTAGTTTTCTGATTTTATAGGGTAATAGGGAAAGAAATTACTAGTCCAGTCATTAACATGGAGATGGCAGAGGAAGGAGCTGAACTCGGGATCTCTTATGTCCTAGTACAATTCCTTGTCCCTTAGATTATAGTAGCCAATAAAACTTAGCTATTTCTTCAGAAACATCTAGTATAAATGCAATTTATTCTGGATGGCTGCTCTGCACTGGCTCTTTTTCTGTTGTATTACATGTCTTTGAGAGACCTGATTTTCTACAAAAGCTTCTTTTCTTGAAAAGGATGCTGGGAACAAGAATTTCCCATCTTCCCTTGGATGTTAAAAAATCTCTCATACCTCCTTTGAATTATATTTTGATTTCTAGCTTAACTGTATCTTCTTTTTGATGCTCAGAGTTGTTCAAGGATCAAATTCTCTATTACAAGCCTGTATTTTAATCTCCTTAATGTTCCAGATAGATATTATGTAGCATTTTAATTCTGGAAGGCATATTTCTTACTGAATTGTGAACTGATCATTAGTAGTGGTTTTTTTCTTACATGGTTTTCAACGTAGTGCATGAAAAAACTTGCTTTTTTTACAGCTTAAAACCTTCCTAAAGCTACCCCTTTCCCTTTCTTTATCAAACTGGTATCTATTCCATTAACTGGGCTCTTAACAGTTAACCAAACTGTCAATAATATTCTCATACATGCCAAGGTGATTTAGACTCCAGGTCCAATTTCAGGGAGTAATGTGGGCACTTGGTATAACACCACATTAAAAGTTAGCGGAGCTTGGACTGTAGTGACACATTTGCTTTGTGCACAGCACTTGGGTTAAAGCACTTCAGACAGCAGAAGCAGCAGAGCTGCAGCAGCTGGGTGTGGGTCAGCTTTTTCTCTGCCGAGACTAACAAAACTGATGTAGCTGCCTGCCTCTCTAAGAAATTGAGTCTGGTTCAAAGTCGCGTGGATGTATTTGGAAAGTATTACTCGGGTATAATTTTCAACTACTGAATTAGTGTACCAAACCTTTTAAATACTGCAGGCATGCTGGAGTGCCTAAATGGTCTAATTTTGCTTTCATTATTCTTTAGTTTTGACGTAAGCACGAGTTTCACAGTGGTCTTGGAGGCCGTTGATGAGTTGCTCATTCAAGGGCGGATTTCTGCATTGTAGAGGTAAAAATAGTTATTCAGAAATGTAATCATAAGTAAATTAAAAAACCTAGATTATTCTTCTCATCCTTGAATTATGGTCATAGAACCATACTAAGATTAAAAGCTTTGATTGTTTAACTTTGATTGTAAGCTTTTTGTGAGATTGTCAAACTGCTGCTTGTTGTAAGAAAAAACTCTTGACTGTCAAGAGATTGGGGTAAGGGGAAAGTTGCTTTAATGCTGAGTAGCCTAGATTGCAATTCCATGTGATTTTTTTTTTTTTTATTTCTTTCATCCACGTCTAAGTGTATGTTACATTAAAGGGCTTGCAGAACTCAGTGACTCTTTTTTGGTTGTTTTTTTGTTTGGTTGGTTGGTTTGTTTTGGTTTTTTTTTTTCCCTGTGGTGAAAGCCAACATCTGGGTTAGTAGAATGTAATGTTATATATTTCCTTTATAACTTCTTAATCTAGTAATACTGAAAATTAGTAAGAGCCTTTCAGATTCAGTAGACTTCTTAATCTCCCATATTGAAACATGCCTGGGTAAAAAATCAGTATCCAAAGGGATGGCTGTATCTGGTTCTGTGAGATACATATAGAGTTGTGACTGTCACTTACTAATCGCTACCCTATTGTCTTACTAATGCATTTTAGCATGAGATACTTTATTATTTTCAAGGAGGGGTTTTTTTTTCTTTTTTTTTATTTTTTAAACAGAAACCTTCCTGGAAAGTTTAGGGTAATAGTTGGATCATTCAGTCAGACTTACTAATGAAGTATTTCCCAGTGTGTGATAGGTTCTAAACCTCTTACTGGCACCAGAGAGATGTTTAATTTATAAAGTTAAAGCCCTGCTGTTGTCATGGGTGACCATGGGTGAATTGTCAGCTTTATTTTAATTCTGGGGACAAAAAGATATCATTACTTATACCGTCATAACCACCATTATTCTTTATACATTGGTTGAATAATTCATATTTAACTGAAATCTAAATGTGGTTGATGTACTTCAATTTAGTAACTGCTACCGGAAGTTGTTAGCAGCTTAGTTAATTGAGGTAATAATATTTACCTATTTCAAGTAACTTTTTTTCCTCTGAAGTATTTTTCAGGTAAGTCAATCATTTATTGCATCTTCTTTATGCTGAAGGTAACATAAAATATTTGTAACAGCTGTATAAAATCTAATTAAACTTGAATTGTCTTTAACTAGTTCTGGTTCTGTATTTAAATTTTCTATCTATGTTTTGTGAATGCTTTCTTTTTAGGTAGACAATGTTATTAGCTCAGATAAATCGAGACTCTCAGGGAATGACTGAATTTTCTGGAGGAGGAATGGAGGCCCAGCATGTGACTCTTTGTCTAACAGAAGCTGTAGCTGTGCAAGGTGAACCTTCAGGTTAAAATACCTCTACATTATTGTGTCTTTTCTGTTTGAAATTCAGTTACAATGCTAAAACTTATGTAGTGTGTTCTAAATGACAAATCTAACAGAACTTATTCTTAGTTAACTGAGATTAAGTTCACTAATTTAATTCTGAAAGGAAATGATCTCTTAATTAAGATAATAGGAGTCTAAATGTGCCAAAATAGGAAATACAAAATCGGACTTTATTCTCACTATAGTTTTGCTGTTTTATACTTTGTAACTTCAGTTTATATCTAAGTATGTGTTAAACAAGTTGAGTTTTAGAATAGATTGGTGATCTAGGATTGGTTTAAACTGATCTTTTCTGACAGCTTCATTATAATTTTATGTGATTAAAAACTTTTTTCCTAAATCTGTGGTTTACTCTAAATAGATTTGTGTATATTAATAACAGGTAGTAGTGTACAAAACAAAATTATCAATACAAGTATATGTATCGTTATTTCACTGTTGACACTCATAAGCTAATTAATATTTCTCCTAAAACCTCAGCTTTGTAGTTATTTATTCAGTGACATTGGAACTTTTTTAGTTAAGGAAAATAACATTCTAGCTGTCATGTTTACAGACCAAAATGTTGAACATATGACCCTAGTATGTGTTCAAGGTTCAAAAACCAAAAAGCAAGTAAGACTGTTTCCTATTATTATTTCTGAAATCATTATGCTTTAAGGGGTTGCAATCATTTATGGAGGTGGTTAAGTTGTGATTTTTAGGGTTTGATGCTGGTAATAGTGAATATGAACTTTTTTCCTTGCTAGATGGTGACAACTTAGAAAACATGGAAGGTGTAAGTTTGCAAGCAGTTACCCTTGCTGATGGCTCCACTGCTTACATACAGCACAATTCTAAAGGTAAGTAAATGACTAGAAGTTAACTGGTATTGAAATCGTATTCCCCTTTTTAACCCTGTCTTTGGATTCTAAACCCCTTTGGATTGTAAAGTCAGGCAAAATCTGTACGATGTTTATGAAGTTCCAATTCCAGCTGGGAATTACAGGTATTACAGTAACACTATAAAATAAATATTTATTTCTGCTGTTAATAAGATGCCAGTATCAAATGGAGAACATAAGTCAATCAAAAGTGAGATGATCTTTACACTTCAAACCCAAATATCAACATCATGACTACTGGATAGGACATCAGGCCTTTTCTGTTTTTTTTAATCCCAGAATTTTAAAACCTCTGTATAGTTATACTGTGCTTACTCTTTACCAAACATTATTTCTCAGTGATATTTTGTTGACATTTTCATCCAGAAAGTATCAACTGTGTGTTTAAACTGTGATGTGTTATACAGGTATACAGAATGTTTTTTAAGAATTCTAATTGTGTGTTTCAGATGGTAAATTAATGGATGGCCAAGTGATTCAATTAGAAGATGGTTCTGCTGCTTATGTTCAACATGTACCCATGCCTAAAAGCAGTAAGTGTAATAATACAAGAAATGTATTCTATAATAATGTATTACTGATAAATATTGATACTAAGTAATTAACAGTCATTATAATAGCTTGATTTCTTATTTTAATGGAAGTAGTCTTGAAGAGATCCTAGGTATTTTGTAATCCTAGGTATTTAGTGTTTAATCTTTCCAGTTAATGGATTTTTCAAACTATTGTTGAAGCATTGTAATTCTTTCTTCCAAACAGGGGACAGCTTGCGTCTGGAAGATGGACAAGCAGTTCAGCTGGAAGATGGAACTACAGCATTTATTCATCACACCTCGAAAGGTAATTTTTTTTTTTTTTAAGTGTGATTTATTATATTAGAGTTCAACAGAACTTCAGCAGTATAAAATATGGTACTCTTTTTAGACTATGACGTCATTTAGTGTGATTCCCAATGTAGATTACTTGTTGCTTTTACTTTGTGACATCTGGAAATTGTCGAAATGAGACTGGTTCAGTTCCTTATTTGGGCCTCATACAACAGTTATAAACAGAATCAAAACCAGCATATTTCACTTTATTTTAGCCCAGGATCACATTAAAGTAAGTATATGTCATGTTAATAGAGAATGGAAGCCCTTATACAGATTTCAGCAACAATTGCATGTGAAAATGAGAAAGCAGGTAAGAATCAATCAATCCCTCTTGAGCTAAAGAATGTAGTGATTGACTTAAATTTTAAAGATCATGCTATTGATGATTTTGCCATTAGGTGGTAGGGCAGAAAACGTGACAGCTGACAGTCAAGAATGCAGACGTAAAGAATGCAGACGTATTTATTTTAAATGCTAACTTAGATTTCTGAGGAAGATGATTACACTAGTGTTGGAAATAGTACTACTTCTCTACAAAAAGTTAAGTAGATATTTTAAGTCTGTTTAAACTAGAGTGACAAGAATTACATTCTGTAAGCAGCAATACTGAGAGAATATAATAAAGAATTTCTTTCTTAAAAGTCACCCTATAAGTTATGTGTTTCTTTTGCATATTTGTGTGATTCTGTTCTTAAAATGATCAGATTTATGAATTCTAAAATCTGAAGTATTGACATCAGTACATGTGTTAATTATTTTCATGTTATTATGAGTGAATATGAACTGGAAAGCATATTTGTGTTCCTGGTTTCCTTTGTAAATAAAGCTAGACCAATATAAAATTGGTTTTGCACTTTTGTAAGTGTGCAGAAATAAAGTTATGGGAGGTGTTGTCTTGGAAAAAAAATTCATCAGTGCTATTCATAGTAATATTTCAAGTGTTTATGTTTCTCATATATTTCATACATATATATGACTTCAGGAGACATTTCCTGAACTGCAATAGTTTCTCATGTGACTTGCAGACATTGCTATTCCTTTTCTTTAATAACACTTTGTAATATTATTTCTCAGACAGTTACGACCAGAGTGCATTACAAGCAGTCCAGCTGGAGGATGGAACTACTGCCTACATTCACCACACAGTGCAAATGCCACAGTCAGATACCATTTTAGCTATTCAAGCTGATGGCACAGTAGCAGGTCTTCATACAGGAGATGCTGCCATTGACCCAGATACCATCAGTGCTTTGGAGCAGTATGCAGCCAAGGTATGCTGAAAGACATTTTCTCTATCCATAATGTTTTAATGTAGCATCACAAGATACTTGGCAGCAAAAGCCAATTGTGATCCAAGAATTAAAATGATAATTAAGAGAGTCTTCAGACTCCTAGAAGAGAGAACACCAAATTGTCATGACAGTGCTTCACTATCGTGGGCAGCTCTAGTGTGTCGTGGTGCATAAAAAGAACAAAAGATTGAACGCTGAAATGTCAGACTGATTTGGAAAGTGATTTAGACAAGTAATAATGTTCTCTAAAATATAGTATTGGAAAGGAGCCCTTGAGAGGACACTGGAAAGAAGGGCAAAGTGAAATTATTCTTATTCAGGCACTACTGCTGGATTTTAATTTTTTTATTTTTTTTCCTGCATTGGGAAGAGTAGGGCCTGCTGTACTGGGCAAGGACAATGCATGGTATGAAGTGTAAAATAGACAATTAGGCAATTATTGAGTTTGGAAAACACTTCTTTGATCCATACTTTCAATAGTAAAATGTAGTATGATGCTCAAGATTCATATTGTCCACTTTACTGGACTTCTGTAAAGCATGATGTAAGTGTAATAATGGGCAGTGCAACTTCCATGACTTTATGGTTTAGCAGTGTCCCAGTTGCTGGATGATTACCATCAGCGCTTGTACTGCTCTGGAAAAAGAGTAGAATAAATTTTAAAATCTGTCCTCTAGTGTCACCAAGTTGTCAAATTTTGGGAGAAGGCCAGTTAGGATAATTAAATGGCTTATACACTATTCTTTCCATTATGCTTCTGTCTATTACAATTGAGAGATCTTAAGAGAGCCAGTCAGATTGTGTTGTGTTTGGCTATGCCTTAACATTTCATAAAATAAAAGGTCATTCAAGGTTAGTTGAGCTGTAGTGACAAGCTTTTACACATTCCATAGATACTATTTAATTTAGGTTTAAATCAATCATAACTTTGTCCTTCTTAACAAGGAGCTATATTAATCATAATTTAAGTTTCTGTTTTGAGAAGGTGAAGAAGAAACAGAAGAAATGCAAATATAAATAAATTTGCATTTTTGTCCTATTTATCTCAACATGTATTTTTTAATTCTGTAATGTGAATTTGTCTTCCATAGAGTACTTGTGTGTGTCTAGGAAAAATTCTATTTATTTTCTTCAAGCTTTCATCTCAGAACCTTATTCTGAAAGGTACTGCTAGAACCTCTCAGGGAAAGTCAGTAGAAGTGAGTTTCCAAGTCTTGCACCTGTTTTATGTACCAAATAATAGCTCAATCGTCACAACCCTGTCTTTCTCTTAAAAGGAGAAATGTGGTTTTGTGATTCTACTCCATGTCCGTGTACGCTTCATAGTGAGGCAATGTATACTTTTCATAGCAGCTGGTATAGGAACCTTGAAAAAGGTACAGGAAGGGGCAACAATGATGACATGAAATACACGAGGTAAGTATATGATAGAATTTTATAAAATTTTAAGTGGCACAAAGAAGAGTAGTGACTTGTCATTGTCTTTACCAGTGTAAGAACTGGGAAACAGCAGATGAAACTCTCAGGTGACAGGTTCTAGAAAAGCAAGGGAAAAATACTATTTCCAACAGCACAAAGTTAAGCCATGGCACTGCTTGCAGGATGTTGTGGATGCTAATACGTCCCTGGATTCGAAGAGTAATTAGATAAATTCATAGAAGAAAAATGTATCCAGGGCTATTAGATAGGAACATGTGACTTCTAGTTCAGGAAGTTCCTAAGCCACAAATTGCTTGGAGGTTGGAGAATATTTCTGGGAATGTATCACTATGTGCTTGGCCTGTTCCTTTTGTTTTCTCTAGCATCTGTTACTGGCTGCTGTTGGAAACAAAATGGTACACTAGATTGACCTTTAGATTGATTCAGTATAGGTGTTCTTATGTTCTTAATTGAAGGCAGACTAAAGATTTATTTAGAATCTGAGACAGTCTTTTAGGAGGAACTCAAAGATCTTCCTTGGAATCCTTCCAGAATTCTCCCGATACTGCAAAAAAAGAGGTTTAAAATTGGGTGTCTTGCTTTTTTTGTTAACTTTGAAGGTTTTCTCTTCAAAACTTAACAGGGCAAAGAAAATTTTAAAGGCAGATTTGGAGAATGGTGGTGGTTCTCTGTTCCTCTGTCCTACATAATGGGCAGAAATAACAAAGATGAGTAGCCTGCCCAAGATCAGTGTAGAAACTGTTCATACAAAGTGATCCAAGAAGACTACAGAGAAGCTCACTGGAAGTGGTGAAACATGTACATTTTTCATTGTCCCTTGCTTCTGCTTTAGGCATAGTACTACTTTACCATATCTTGCAGAGTACATGCAAAGACTTAACTAGAGTGCTCTTAATTTTGGGCTAAGTCGATGCCACCTTCCTCCCAAAGCAACCAAGGAAAAAAGACAACATTGCTCTCAGTGAACATAAGGTCAGAAGATACGTAATGGAATTGTGAAGAGGTTACAACGCATACTTTTTCTTCCGTAAGCTGTTTTCCTGCAACATCCCAGCTGCTGGAAAAGTACAGTTCCTGGGATCACATGCACATTCTGTTTGGATCATTTGTTTCCAGTGGCACTGATGAACTTGAATTTCATGTCAGTAGTTCCTTTCTTAACTAACAACAGGAGGTTCACGATGAAGTGATTCAAGTCTCCTTTCTGTGCAGGTTCTCTCCCCTCCCTTCAAAAATTCTGCAGGAGAAGGTCCCCAAATGGCTATTGTTTCCTTCAAAAATAACCACCTGAGAATTACCTGCTTGCAGACTCTCTTTGCAGTCTCTCTGTAATGTAAACTTGCATCTGCTTGGGCACTTTTCTCTTTGCTGTTTTAGCTCAAAGTTGCCAAAAGCATATTGCTCACAATCGTCTAATTTAGAAAGATAGTACAGTCTGAAAACCTCTTATGGGATAAGTTCATCTTTAGTCTCCAAGCTAAATGTTGGTAGCTGATGCTTTGAGCAAGATAGTTCACACAGCCATTAACATTCTCAGGAGCCTGCTATGACCTCCTAGTGAAAGGCCATAAGCATACCAGCTGAGACAGGGTTCCTGCCAAACTATTTTAGAGAAGAAAAAAATCACTTAGGCTAGATGTAGGTGCAGCAATCTCAACCTTGAGTGTAATGGATGCAGAGAGTATTGTGAATGCCTGTGCTCAATACAGAGGCAATTAAGGAACTGGAAACTACGTAAACCTTACTTTAAATTAGTTTTTTCTACAGTGACTAATAAGATGTTCTTTGAGTTGATGTATGTGAGAGTTTGGGTTTTTTTTAACTGGGCAATTATTTTTATTTAAATAAAATTTTCAAATTAACATCTAATACTCTTTCAGATATTTTTATAAGCTCCTTGGAAAGTAGCAATACCTTTCTCCTCCTGTAGACTGTTTTTAAAAATAAACCTGTGGAGCAATACACAAGTCTTTGCTTAGCTGTTGTAATTTGACTATTTCAAATTGAGATGTAACACATTGTCTTAGGTATTTTGATTCCAAAGGAGTTCTGCTGTTTGAAACAAGTAAATTCTGCTTAACAGGGAGTGAGAGATACAACCCTATTATAAAAGAAGTCAACATTTTCTTTTTTTTTTTCCTGTCAGAACTCAGTATTGTTAAATTTATTAATTTTAATACTTTTGACAGTCTGTTAATTTAACATACTTGGTTCTTGCAGTCTTTCCTACCTTGTTTTAATACAACTTTGAGATACTCACTTTACCTATTCTATAATGCAGGTGCTACAAGTGGTGATTTTCATGTAAGCTAGTGTACTATAGGATAACCATGTTTCAAGAGGGAGCTAGAGAGCTATGAAATAATAAGCCCTCAGGAACTGTCTGTAACCTGTTTTTCAGATGAATAAAAATAACCTGTAAATGTTTTTCCCATTTCAATTTCATTTTTCAGGTGTCTATTGATGGAAATGACAGTGTTAGTGGCACAGGAATGATAGGTGAAAATGAACAAGATAAAAAAATGCAGGTATGTAGCCCAATATAAAATAATTTCTATTTCTCCTGTTTTCTCTGCCCAGAAGCATGCATGCTAGGTAGTCCTATGTAGCCAAGAACTAGGGTCTGCTAGATCTCAAACCTATACGGATAGGTCATATTTCTCACTTTGTACAAGATCATTTCAAAGGATTTTGAAAAGATCTTCTAATACTTACTGTTTTCTGGTTTTTTTCTGTTAAAAGGTAATTAAAAATTATGTTGGATTTCTAATATTCTTTCAAGCTGACCTGAGTTTTTCATCAGTAAGGGTGCAAGTATTTCAGAAGTTCTTTTACAGAGAATGAACTAACTTCTTATAATCCTTAAAGCAGAAGGAATGCTGACTCAATTAATGAATTATTTTCTTCTCAAGAGAGACAATTCCAGGCATATGTCTGGAACTGTTCTCTCTTTGGTGACTTATTTTGATTCCACTTGCCCTGTTAGAGTCCCTGACTTTTATTGTGGGTTTTGTAAGTACATAAGTAGATAAGAGCATTGCTCCTAGTGAATGCTTAAAAAAAGCAGAAAAATACTTCCATTTCTTTTTCTGTATTCATGTTGTTAGTATGTAGAAATAGGAAAACCTTTTCAATGTGAAAATATTAACCTAAAAGATCAAAGGGTAATGGAAAATACAGCTGCAACCTATTAAGTTTCAAACTTAATCCGTAAAATTATGTAAGGAGAATGGTATTTGTCATTGTAATGTATTTTATTAAAGGAAAAGACAAACCAAAACGTATTCTGGGCTTCAAAGAATTTTGACCAACAACAAACGTAATAATAAAACCTCAATACCCTCACATGTTCAAACGACAAAATTAAAAATGGAAAAATCATTGCATTGAGAAAGGTTTGGTCAGAGAAGCCCTGTTTTTCCTTTGTGTTTAATTTATGAGATAATGAACTAGCCAAGGAGGAAAAATATCTTCCAAGGTAAAATACAGTATCTATGAAAGGAAGAATTAGAGGCTCACCTCTGACATTTACCTCAAAATTCTCTATTATTAATTTTTTTAAAAGCCAGGTTCCACGATGTTTAGTTACAGACACTCCACTGTTGCCTGTGTAGCATGACTGTGAAAGGAGAGAATAGCTAATACATGCATTATTTATGGTATTGGAATATATTTCATAAAATGAAATGAAGAAATTTAGAGGTTTTGCACACTTGTAGATTGGAATAGGGATACAACTCCAATAAAATGCAAAATTCAAGGATGAGTAAGATAAGATCTTGCTTGTTTACGTGGAAGTAAGAGCGTATTAAGCAAAATTACCTATAAGCTGTATCAAGTTACATGTTGATTTCAGCCTCAGCCCCAAACCAAAGTGAATCTGGAGGTTTTATTTTATACATGTGTGGCAGCATATATGCCATGTGGAAATGTGCCAGTTTTATGGAGCATTATGTGTTCCAAACAAAAAAAGATCTGATATTTCAAAAGGTATTGAGGCTTAGTCTCAAATTCTGACCCCTATAAGGTGACTGCAGTTGACCAACTGAAGGGTCCCAAAGCTATCAATTATGTATGAAAATCCTAAAGTTTATATCTTGATTTAAGTAGAAACCTACTTGTGACTCATTCTGAAATAATGTATTACTTGGGATAAAATAGTCTCATATTTAGATATAATATTAAATAAGTGTGTATTTATAAACTTCTTAAGCCTGCAGGTAACACAAGAACAGAACAGATGTCATGCTGCTAAGTAGTCATTCAGACTTGCATGTGGTTAGGTTTTTCACCAAAGAAAAAAGCAGAAAACCTTTTTGTGATTGCTACACGTGAAAATAAAAGACTATGTGTGCCTAAATGGATATCACACACTATTCTGTTTCAAACCTGCCATACCCATCTGTTCATAATAAAAGCAGAATCATATGACTGAAATTTGTACATATACAATATAAAAATCTTATCTGAGATCTTTGTTACCTTTTTTGTTTTCCTGTGTTACCAGAACTCAGGATGCATTTGTGATTTCTTTTTAAATTAGGGTTTTTTTAATTTATTTTGTCTATTTAAAAGTATTTTGAAGTACACAATTCCTCTCAACAAGTTTTGCATTATTATAAAGGTGCTTTATTTGTGATGTTCTTCTGATTTTGTGCCTCCTAACATCTGAATTTTTTAGTTTCTTTAGAGTATATTGTCTTCTAAGAACAGTAATTTTAATACTGTATCTGTCCTTGTTGAATGATAATACTAACTGAATTCTTTATAATCCTCAAGTCATACTAATGAATGTATTGTGAAGAAATACATACGTCTGCACTGCACACAGTTGAACAAACAAATGCTTGTGATGTTCAACTGATTTTTTTCCTAAGTGTTCTGTTTGTTTTATTCCCCCTCCCCCCCTTTGTATCAATCTTAATATTGGTAAAATTATGTCTGGTTATTTCCTTACAGATATTAGCACGTTGATTATAGAACTGTTTTAATTTTCCTTTAAACTTTGGCATACTTCAGCTTTGTAGCAGATCTTAGCAGCTATATACATATTTTTATATGCTGAAACAACAAAGAAATTACTAGCAGGTTTACTGATAGAAAAAACAAATTAATGCTTAAGTGCAGGTGCTCAACCAAGCATTGTCTTCATGATCCTTAATGTATTAAAGTGACTTCTGTGATTCATGGTATCATAGGTTAAACAACAGTATTAGTAATGGGTTTCTTGATTCATGAGGTTGTTTTTCTTCGTGGTTCCAGAGAAGCTTTTCTGAAGTGGTGGAGTTGTACATTTCAGTTGATTAAAAATTTCATATTCAACTTTGCATCTTTAGTCTTAAGAACAGTCTGAAGGTAACAGGGGGCATCCCCCTGAAGAATCTGTAGGAAAGTTTTTCTCAGTCAAATTTCTGGTCTATATGAATGAGGAATTAGAGGTCTATGTGCAGTTGCAGGGCTACAGTCTTGTTGGGATGAGGGGCATGTGGTGGGATAGTTCAGATGACTGGAGTGCTGTGATGGATGGATACAGGCTCTTTAATAAGGCCAGGCAGGGAAGGAGAGGAGGGGCAGCTGCCCTTCATGTGCGAACAGCAGGACTGTGCAGGACTCTGCTGTGGGATGGGTGATGAGCCAGTCAAGAGCCAAAGGGTCAGAATTAGCTGGCAGACCAGTGTGGGTGGTGGTGTGGTAGCTGTCTGCTACAGAGTGCCTGATCAGGAAGAAGGTGAGGTCTTCTTCAGACAACTGGAAGAAGCCTCATGTTCACAGGGCCAGGTCCTCATGGGGAATTTTAACCGCCTGATATCTGCTGGAAGAGCATCATAACAGGGCACATGAAATCCAGGAGTTTTCTGGAGTTCAGGTATGGCAAATGGCAACGGGCAACCTAAAGCAGGTTATTAAGCAGCTGGCAAGGTGAGACACTTTGCTGGACTTCATGCTTACCAGGAAGAATTAGATGGGAATGTGGAGGCTGGTGGTAGCCTTCAAGAGTCTCCCTTGTTTAGAGATACTCAGAACCCATCTCATACTGCTGTGGGCAACCTGCTGCAGCTGATCCTGCTTTGAGCAGTGGGCGTTGGACTAGAGGCTCTCCAGAGGTGCCTGCCCACCTCATCCATTCTGTGAAATGTTCTTTTGACAATTCAGAATAGAATTGGATCCATAAGAAAAGGGGGGTGGTTTAAAAGAAGTATAGCCCTTTTAAAATAGTCTTGATTACTTTGCATATAGTTGTATCAAAATGTTTACATTTGGGCTTCTCCTTCTTTCTTCAGTCTGTATGAATGTTTCTTGCATATTAGTGTATGAAGAAGCCTTTAAAAGGGGTTTAAGTTGCATCGCAAAGCTATTCTGTATATTTTCCTGTTGTGTCATGTCAGGAAGGAGAGTAGAACTTAGCTCAAATTGCTCCAATTAGTTTGATCAAAACACATGCATCACTGACAAAGTACAAAATGCTTTCCTTCATTTTCAAAAAGTGCTCATTATAAGTGCATTTAATTATTGTTTGGCCTTTGCATGAACTTATCTTTGAAGGTGGTCTGATTTATGGCTAATCTCCCCTAGGAATGGATCCAGCGCCTTAGATGTAATCTAAACCTCTTCTGTCTGCTAATTTGGTCATCTTACCTCTGGGTTTATATTTCAAATTATTTTGTCTTTGTTGTTATTTGGCTAATTAATGCATACATTTAAATTTGCTAGCTACAAGTAAATACATTTTCCTTTCATCAGAATTTATGCTTTTTTGTTATTTATTTTTAGTTTATTTATTGAGGACTAAGAAATACATGGCGTAGCAAAGAGAGACAAAAGAAACCTGTCACAATCAGCTCTGGCTTGGTGGCAAAACAAAGTATGTGACTTTTCTGATCCATTGTGTTTTGTTTTGTTTTTTTTAATTTTTTTTTTAAGATTGTCTTGCAAGGACATGGAACAAGAGTGACTGCAAAATCTCAGCAGAGTGGAGAGAAAGCCTTTCGCTGTGATTATGATGGCTGTGGAAAACTGTACACAACAGCTCACCATCTTAAGGTGATGAGATGTAAAATGAGCATTGTTACTTTGCAGGCATGATTTTTTTTGTCAGATTATGTGGTTAAAAGTAACACATTAACAGAGAGCCAGTTGCAATGGTGCTGTTTTGTCAAATGTTTATTGGGTTGATTTTAGAATAATTGGTTGTCCCAGGTGCTCAGCTGATTTTGCTTAGTGTTTTGGATATATGCGGGTGTGGGATCATGCTGGGCTTCTATATTGCCAGCATGTAAGAAATCTCTTGTTGAGATAGTTTCTACCAGCAGTGTCACAGAAATACTGAAATCCAGCGTTCACTTTATCTACTTTACATGTATGTGTGATCATGCAAAAATTCCAATTTTTGAAAGATTTTACCATCATAATACAAAGTCTACCTCCTCAAAAAATCCAACATTCAAAGTGAAAAGCTGGAACATCTTTTCTTTACAGGTGGCAAGTCCTTAATTCTCTTCCTTTTTTAAATTAAGTAAAGGAATTACTGAAACAGTAAGGGTGTAGAGCTGTTCACATTGCAGCTTAGGCTGTGATGATCACTTGCCAATGAGGTAAACTCCTTGCAGTGCTGCTGTGTCTCTGACAAAACGCTCTGGAGTCAGTGAGTAATTGATTCTATGGATCATGTGTTAAGATGGTGTCCTTGCTGTAGAGGTTTCATGCAATAGAAGAGGATCATTAGAAGCACTTGGCGGAGTTAAAAATCAGATGGTGGGCTCTGAGGCATGTTTACATACTGTCTTTAATGTAGTTGCATGATGGCAACTCTGTGTATTTACAGAAATGGTTTCTGCAAAACAGCCTGAAAGGATCAGGTTAGACCTTGGAAAGAGACATCTTTAGTTTTAGGGAAAACATTGTTACCATATTTCATTATTTTTTTTAACACCGATTTAAAAAGAAGACACTTGAATGTGAATCTTAGGAAGAGAATTAAAACGTTGTCGTAGAGAATGAACTGTTTCTGTGTTGAAGTAATCAGATACAACATTTCATTAAGTCAGTGTATGGGATGTCTTAACAGGTGCATGAAAGGTCACACACAGGAGACAGACCATATCAGTGTGAACATCCTGGATGTGGCAAAGCCTTTGCGACAGGTAATCTTTTGTAGACTAGCTCCTCCTGCTTGTTAGTGTTTGTATAAAGTAAGTTTTTAATGTTGCCTTTTTTAAACTGCTAAGTAAATAACTTGGGAGAACTGCAAAAAAAAGTCATCATTTCAGCTAGCGTAGCATATAGAAAGGACAGAGGATTTAGTTACTGAAGGAGGAATGAGGTGAAACACTTGACACTTTCCCTTACTCTTCACCTGTCATGCTACAGTCAGATTTTATGTTGAAAAAACAGGCCTTTCTTAACATGAAACTAATAGTATAAGTTAAATGAGGTGATAATAAAAAGCCAGACCTGTTGGCTAGAGGCAAATACCTGATCTTCTGTTCCAAATTTGAAAGGAACTTTGGTGGAAGATGGTTTTTTAAGTGTTCTTTATTGAATTTGTATCAAAGAGTGACATTTCTCATGAAGTGACATTGCTCTACATTTTGTACAGAATACTCTGTTCGTAAATTATGCTCTCCCTGAGATTGAATTTGATCATGCAAAATGCAGTTATGAAGAATGAAACATGGAAGAAAGTGAAAGAGCAAAACTTGTTTCAGATTTTATTCTTTTACTTTGAATGTAAATTAGTATGATGCTTAGAGAAGTTAGGCTCTATTTTTTTTTTTTAAACCTGTAGTCTTTTTAAAGTAACTTCATCTGATCTAATGCATTTAATACTGTTTCTTTGAATAGAAACAAGCAAAAGAAATGCTGATGAGAAAGGTCAAAAGGGAAACAACCGCACTTAAAGGGTTGCACCTAAGTTTAATCGCATAGAGTTTATGAAGGGATTTCAAAACTACAGAATGAAATAGGCTCTTCCCTTGCAACAGACTGATCTATGGCTATAAACAGCTGTTTGTCTGTTAATACCATATTTTTGGTCAGAGCCATTGTACCACTGTAGTTCAGCAATCCTTGATAAAGCTCATTCTAAGTACTGAATGCTCTCTGTTTAAATATTAAGAACTCTCCTGGGTTGGATCATGAAATTATTTCAGATGTCAGCTTGGTAGACATGCTTTGTGTTTTTAAAAACATCAAGAATAGGAATTTCAGTTGTTTTGGGGAGAGCACACTGTGAAACTAAAGCAGGTGCCATCTTCTTACAGACTGTTACTTTATCTTGTAGAAATATATACATCATTTGTGGACACAAGTAATTCTCAAATTCATTTTCTAAAATGGCTGTTTCAGGGTTCTGTAGTCAAGATCTTTTCAGGGAAACACAGAAAGGAAAATCTTGGTAAAATGCTCTTTGCAAAATAATTTACAGAGGGCCTGATCCAAAGCTCGCTTTAGACTGGTAGTTTTTGATGACGATTGAGTTCCTAATGATACCAAAAAGCTGATCAAAGAAACTCTCTAAGACTTGTTTTGGAGTTTTAGAAAGCAGGCATTCTTTATTGCAGCGCTGGATGCACGGGGGATAGTTCCACCTAGACTGCATACCACAGCTTTAGCACAAACAGGTTATATAGAATAACTAATTACATACTAATCAGGTTAGTATACATATACATAAAAATTACTATGACTGATTATCATAGTACTGCCTACATCCGATCATGCGCAATGAAGGATCCATTTGAGTCGAAGGGCTGCTTTTATGACCACCAACCCATTTGAAGTTCTTGCTGGCTGTCCTTGAAGTCTTTATTCTTGTCCTTGTTCTTTGATCTTGAAGCTTAACGCAGTTTCAAACACATGTGGTCAGTTTCAACATTGTTCTCATCTAGCGTACAGGAACATCTAGTCATAAGAGCAAAGAGCTGCAAAACTTATGAGTAACTACCTCTACTAGTTAATTGCTTGGCTATACTTTTGTCTATTGTTTCAATCATAGTGTTAGTATAAGATTTCTAATAATTATTTACCAAATCCCACTTTTACAGTCACCTAGCAGCAAACCAGTTTCCACAGCTGGTACAAAATATTAAAACCATCAAAATATTTAGACATACCATACAGAATGTGTGGAAATAAGCTATCACTAAAAGTAATCTTAAAGGGAATGAGTGTCCATGACTGCTATCAGTTGGCACTTATATATGTGATAATGTTAATAATATGCTTTAAAATAATTAGAGTTTAGAGCCTTGATACCAGTAGAGCTTTTACTGCTGACTTCGTTAATGGTACTGAATGAAGGATGAAAGAATTTCTAAACTGTATCTAGAGTTCTGCTGCTCTGTATGGTAGAATGAAGAGCTTGTGAAGAGTGAAAGAGCAAATTTTACTGATCAGGGAGCTTCCTGATTGGAATGGCAAGTGCAGCTTTTGATGGCGATGGTTTATGAGTAGCCTAATTTTGTGTTTATACTATTATAATATCCTTTCTGATCTTCAGGGTATGGGTTAAAAAGTCATGTCCGAACACACACTGGTGAAAAGCCTTATCGCTGCACAGAAGAAAATTGCACCAAATCTTTCAAGACTTCAGGAGACCTGCAGAAACATATTCGAACCCACACAGGTACTATTATCACCCCCTTTTTTTTTTTTTTTTTTTAATTAATTCACTTAGGTAGATTTTTTTTTTTCTCTCTTTGATCATTCTGTGACTTTACTTATGAAATCAGCCTGTGTATATTCTCTTTCTGAAGCCCAGTGAGTTCAACAGCATTTCAGCATGGTAAGCATTTACTGCAAATTCAGCATGCTTTTCTTGGAAAAAGTGCTTAAGCATTCACACTGCTATTGCAAATGCACTAATTTCTAGCAATGCATCACTTACCTTGTCACCAAGTCACTTGGTGCCTTTACAGTTTCATTTGCATCTGTAACAGAAGGAACTTTTCCTCAGTAATATGGCTCACCTTTTAGAAATGGCATCAGTGTTCTTAAGTTTTGGTGCTTTAAGATAACCTGCACGCCAGCTTCACGAAGGTTGATAGTTCGAGCTTGTTATCCTGATTTCCCTTCTCTGCTTGTGGCAGAAAAATGAACAAAAGTATAGAAAACCAGCTACTATTAAAAATTCCAAATGCATAAAAGATAAAATCTTATGTTTTGTCTAAAAAAAGATTTATTTGAAAGCCAAAACACAAATAAATTCTAGACAGCATACACTACACTCTGCAAAACTCTGTGGGTGCACACACATATAAACAAGTTTGTCCAATGTCTCCTTTGCTCCTGAGATCTCCAAAAAAAAGGAAGAAAACCCTCAAATGTCAGGAGAATAACCTATCACTTGCTAACCTAGTAATACTATTCCATTAAGTATATTTACTTGCCTGCTAGAACACCGACAAGTTTTTCCACTGAACTTTCTGAATCTTAAGACAGTAAAAAAGAACAAATGAAATAGGTTTTTCTCAGATTAAAAAGAACAATGGGGGGGTAATAAAAGCAGGCGATAAAAATTATAAAAACTCAGGATTACATTGAGATAATTCTGCTTTCCTAGCCTTCTGTATTCAAAGACAGTCTGTGGAGATTACTGCTATCTTGATGTTAAATTGGTCATCAGGATGAAGACATGGAAGTGTGATCTGTTCTCAGTTCCAGAAGACGCTGTTTGACATTCTGTAGTAAATCAAGTACAGACTATGAACTTGAAAGATTTCTGTAGTATGGACTACAACTTGATTAGCTGTAGACTGTTTTCTTCTTTATGGCCATAGAAGTTGTATGGTATTTTAATTGCTTTGATCTAATTTAGCAGTTGAGACAAAAGACTTGTGTCAGCCCTATATAACCATTTACCCATTTGAACAATATTAATTATACAGTCATAGACTCCCATCAGTACAGGGACTGGAGTTCAGGGGTGTATTTTTTTAGATTTATTAGTGGTTGCAGGAGGCCAAAGAATAAGAAAATTGCACCAAGTCCTTTGTGCAGATGGATGGAGTAGTGTATGCTCATACCCTATGCAAGCTGCAACAGTGCACCCGATGGAGGCAAGTCTGGGCTCTGCCCACTCTCTCCCATGGCTCTGAAACCTTTTCATTCCTTTATCATGTAGAGCAGGGTTAGCGCTTTCTTAATTTTCTGCGTGTTTTAGGCAAAAGTGATTTTCCGCTCTCTTTCAGTGGCAGGCCAGTCTCACTTTCTGTTGCCATCAAATGCTTGCCCCGGGTTCCTCCGTGACTTCCCTAGACACACTGTTCTGGTATCAGAAGAGCTGGTGTGGATGGTTCCTCATAGCTGCTCTAGGGCAGAGCTTGAAGGCTTCTGACTTGCTTTGCATTTCTAGTGCTGGAAATCTCAGTCACCTGGAAACAGGTCGCTTTTCTAACAAGTACATTAGAAACTTAAAAGGCTGGCTTCCCCAACCGGTCGGATGACATTCTTGCGGGCATTCTTTAAGAGCAATCTGTTTTGGTTTCTAATGCAGGGTCTGTTGTTGGGCAGGGTTGACTCTGCAACCCTGCTCCTTTCAGGCATGATTTGAGGTCCTGTGCTGAAGCAAGAATTAGGGGAGCCATGGTAACACAACACTGAGGCGTGTACACTTAATACACACACACTGCCTTGGCAGGAAGCTGAAAAACCTTCCCGAAACGGCTGCCCTAAGGAGCGAATTACAGTTTCCGCTGCCAAGGAGCTAACTGCTTTGGAGTTTCGTGGTATTAATGTCTCTATCAGGACTTTGTTTTTTATTTCTGTCTCTAAGTACTTGATGTTACATCTGTAGTGGTAATCTGCCCTCTCTGGCTCTCAGATTATTCTCTTCGGTAAGCAGTACAGTGGGTGAAATGTACTTAGCTCTAGGAAGCCTGAAGTTACAACAGGACAGCATGTCAGGTGGCTCGCAGTTCTCCAGAGATAACCCCCTTTGCTCTCCCCCTCTGTGTGCTTTGATAGATCTGAAAGGTCAGGAGTATTGCTGTATTTGACAGGGCTTGGCCTTATCTAGTGTGCATGGTGAAATGTTTTGGTGCAATGATGTAAGTAACTGTGCTTAAATTTATATTACGTGAATAGAATTATTTTAAAAAGAACCTGTATTTGTGATTGCTTTGGTTTGGGGGTTTGAAACTTGAGTTTCAGGACTGTCTGTCTTTAAGTTGGTTCTTCTCATGTAAGGTTAAATGCTTTCTATAATGAGTGTTACTAATCCATTTGTATCTTGGTTATATGCTAAATTGTGAAAGTATTTTTTTCATTTTATGAATTACAATTGACAAATGTACAAATGGTATGATACACTTGTCTTGGATAATGAATGTATGAATTCAGGGAGGTGTTCAATACATGTTAGAATATGGACAATGTGGAAGCTAATCCAAGCAACTGAGTCCATTTATACATCGTAAAGTACTAACCTAAATGCTTCATAATTTAGCTTACAGATTGTATGATTTTCCTGAATTTTGCTAGTTTTGGTTAAATAGTAGAACACTCCAGAGTGGCATGTTCATGGTATTTCTGACTGAGGGTCTCAAAGAGAGAATTAGGTAGCTTTAGATTCCTGCATTCAGTCCAAGTGTAACTTAGGATTTTTGTTCTTTTATAACTTTTGCATGTGTACCTTTTCTTTTATTTTTTTCAGGTGAAAGGCCTTTTAAATGTCCATTTGAAGGATGTGGCAGGTCATTCACAACATCTAATATTAGAAAGGTTCACATCAGGACACATACAGGCGAAAGGCCTTATTACTGTACAGAGCCAGGATGTGGGAGAGCTTTTGCCAGTGCAACTAATTATAAGAATCATGTGAGAATACACACAGGTATATGAATGATGTTTTGTATTTTGAAGTGGAATCTGCTTGGGAGAGGCTGTGTCATTTTCCTTGTGAACACTGTTTTGGTGCATTGTAATTGGGTGTAGTCATGTTTATATGACCTGGCTTGGTACTTCTGTTTGGGCCTTGTCTCACCTCAGCTGAGGATAGTTAAGCAGTTAGGTTTCCTGCCTTGCTGTCAAGGCAGAGTAATTTTGGTCTGAATACAAAGTTCTTTAAAACAAATGCAAAACAGTGGATATTGGGCTAAATCCTCAATACGGTTCTGGGGCTTGCCTCTGTTGTGAGCTGTTTCTTAAATAAATAACAGTAAAGCACAAGTCTGAGCTTGACTTTGGCTGTTTTGAGTCACCCTTTCATCCCACCTGTATTTTCCTTGCTGCTGGAGCGGTGGTCAAAGCCTTCTTTTCATAGACGGGAGGTGAAAATACTTAGCCCAACTTGATTATCAGGGTTAGTCAGCAGAAATAATTGGCCCAAATTCGAAGGTTCTTAAATGTAAAAGTCAGTGATAGCTGTATCATCTTGGTAGTAGCCTTATATATTTTATAGAAGCACAGACAAGTTTCATAGAAGTATGTTTTGTTTCTCAGATTATCTTTTTAGTTTATAATGTAATTTAGACATGTGTTTCATTGATTTTTAAATGAAAGGTGTTTTTTATATGAAACCTTACTTGTTTAAATATATGCTTCCTTTAGATTTCTTCAGAACTTAAAGACTCAAAAGTCAGTGAAATTGTACTGGTGTCTCAACATACCTGATCATTGAGGAAAAGTATGGGGCTTCCAGTATTAAAAGAACAAAATTCTCAATATGATGCCAAACTGACATTGTACCTTTCAGGCTGTATCATTTTGTCTTCATCAGAAGGATGTTTTAGATTGAATGATCAGAAGAAAAAAGGGCCCGACTTTTGCTGGCAGTAGTTTTTAAAAAAAGACAGTGAGAAGCTGCATTGATAAACTTTGTGAGCTTGAGCTTCACTGTTGTTTTTGAAATTGAAGTATAGTTGGTAATGAAGGTGTGTCATTAAATATAATTTGTTGTCAATTTTTTCTGTGCATCCTGGATAAAGTCCTGTCGCTTTTGGTTTTCCATACAGGGGAGAAACCCTACGTCTGTACAGTTCCTGGTTGTGATAAACGTTTTACAGAGTATTCCAGTTTATACAAACATCATGTTGTACATACTCATTCCAAACCATATAACTGTAATCACTGTGGGAAAACATACAAGCAGATTTCTACACTTGCTATGCACAAGCGGACAGCACACAATGACACAGAGCCCATTGAAGAAGAACAAGAGGCTTTTTTTGAGCCACCTCCAGGTTAGAGTTTCAGTCTTTGAATCTCTTCTTGTTAAAAAAATTGGCTGGATAATATTTTGCTGGTTTTTTATAACCAAGGAAATGAAAGCATAGATAAAATTCTGAAGTACTTAATAAAGTTATTTAACTTGTTTGTAGGACTTTTCAGTGTGGTAGGCAACTTGTAAACAGAAACTGAGAGAGTAATTGACCAGATCATAAACTCATTTATAGCCATCCTGGGGATAAGAGAGAAATTTGAGTTGCAGGCCCAGCAAACCTCCTGTAAACATGAATGTGGGAAGGGACCTGAGAGAATCTGAAATGTTTATGTTTGCAACCTACTGGACTTTTCTTAGGGATTTTGCTAAGAGTATGTATAACACCATGGTTGGTGACAGTCTTTTGAGCATGAATAAGGGTAGTGCCTTGAGGAAAGGAAAATCTGTCTTCGCAGCACCCTGATACTGTGCTGGTTTTGCTGCCATTAATAGCAGTTTTTGTTCTAGTGGCAAAGATGAAAACAAGTTCACGTGCTGCAGTTCTCCTTAGAATATGTTTTTCATGGTATCATGAGGATTGAATCCTATGACTATAAAAGATAAGACTGAAGGAAGTATTGTCGTAGGACAAATACCACTTGTCAAACTGTGATTTTTAGATGTGACTGCACATAGGAAAAACACACGCAAACTGTTTTGGTCAGAAAAGCTGTTTTATTACATGTATGTGGGAAACTGCACTGAATACCTTAAGCAGATTTGCTATAGTCTTAATTCTTTCTTTTAAGGGAATGATAAGATTCATTTGCTGAGGTTAAACATTTATTAAGATAAAGAACTTGCCTAAATCTTCACACAAAGGCATCACTGTATTCTTCTGTATGTTTGTTAATTAATAACTCTTTTAAAAATCTGCTGGTTGTGTTTGCATGGAGCCTCTTGTATGGAGAGGTTAACATTTAATGAATGAATTAGAATTGTTTGTCACCATTTTAATATTTGCTTATAACCTAAATGTATATTTTCTTTATGTGTAGTAGTTATGTGCGTTAAAACTCATTGCTAAAAGATTATATCCTGTGTTCCCAAAACAGCAGACTTTCTGACTTGCTTTTCATATCTTTCCTTCTTTTATTTTTCTCATCTTTCTACTAAAATTTTTCCATTGAAGTGTTTAAAACTTTCAAACCAGGATGGCACTCAATCCTTGTCATTTGTTTTTCTGGCAGCATTTAGAGTATATAAACTATGTTTGCCTTCTTTGTATCAAATAGGTCAAGGTGAAGATGTTCTCAAAGGCTCCCAGATAACCTATGTAACAGGTGTAGAGGGAGAAGATGTAATTTCTGCACAGGTTGCTACAGTTACGCAGTCAGGATTAGGTCAACAAGTAGCACTAATATCCCAGGATGGAACCCAACATGTAAGTAAGAGCTGACAAAAATATATTGAGAACTGAGGCAGGTGTTTGCAGATACTCCATGTGCTGTCTAAAATCAGTTAGGATTCTTGATAAATATGTACATGGATTTCTTAAGGAAAGAAGCTTCCTTGGAGCTGGGTCAGGATATGTTCAGGGCTGGGCCTCGTGTGGAATATCTAAATTAAACCACATACTCTGACATCTGAAAACTGTATTAATACAAAGCTAGATTTTTTGGCTATTCTTGTTATCTTTGTCACTCTTAAAGTAGGCATGGGCTATTTTAACAATTGTTAGGTATACAGCGTAGTTTCAGAGGTTTCTCAGAACTTCCTGATTATTAATATCTGATGGTCATCTTCACTGTTATCTTGTCTGCACACACTTTGGGGAGGTGGGAAGTCTTTCTAGCCCAGGTGCCTGCTTTACAAGCTGTTTGGAAGTGTGCAGTTCTTATGATTAAACAAGAGCATAAGGAATGCTTTGATACTGCCTCCACTTGAAAATTCCTGCAGATATATTTTTTTTAAGGAGTCCTGTGGATATATTTTTGAAGGATTTCATAAGAAATTTCATTGGGAGGGCATTTCAGCACAACTCTTTTGTTTAGCTATGGCAATATATCGAAAGCATATGGGGAAAACTTTTTATCTCAGCTGGAAAGGTAGCTGAAATGCCAATAGCATATGAAAGATATTTTCTAAATTCAAATTGGAAATGAAATATTAAAGGGGCCTGTTACATTGCCAGCCCTGAACATTGCAGCAATACTAAGTAACTGGCATTTTTACCCTCTAAAATGAAGGCCTGCAGAAGCCTTGACGTGGAATTCCTGCATTTATTTAAATTATCCTTCAGCTTGACTTTAGTTCTGGGATGTTTTATTACCTTGTAAATCAGACATCAAATCATGTATCTGATGCCCTAATGCATTTATACTGGAGACTTTGTAATTTATGTCATTAAATTTTTATGAATTGTTTATTCATGGTTTAAATTCTAAGCCCTCACAGGCTTTTTTAGTATTTCCATTAAGATCAAAGTATGTCAGGTGGTACTACCTTGAATCGCATTGTCCATTGTGTAAGATACATGCATAGATAATCTCTCATGCAGTTATTTGGAATATGAACTGGTTAACATGGAGTTGTAGATTCTGGGGGAAAGTGTATGCATCCTTTTTCTTATTACTGAGAGCCATGATTTTATTTCTGTAAACAGGTATGTGTGTCTGAAAGGTCATGGAATATTAGATCCCAATCAGTAAGATGAATGTGATGAGGGCCCTTTGTCCAAGACTGGGACTTGGCCAAAGAGTGATGGTGATTCTCAAGGAATACATGAGCATGCTGGTCAGGAAGTAGAATAACGGCTACTAGATCTTTTGGCCAGTATGTTACTTGTGATCACGAGGCTTAAAATATTTTTTCCCTGCTATTAAGAATAAGTTGCCTTTTTGTTCTGGATTGCTACACATTTTGTTTCAAATGAAATTGAACTAGCAGGAGTATTCTGCTGAACCAACTAGCAGGAATTTGTTTGATACATGCTGTTATACTTCAAATGCTTATCATTGGGGTTTTTTTTCAAATCTTACTTAAAAACATATATTATGTTGCCAAAAGCTAAGACTCGGGTATGACCTGAGCAGCAATCAAACCTTTTTTTACTTCAGGAATTATTTTGTGTTTCAGGTCAACATATCCCAGGCAGATATGCAGGCCATTGGCAATACTATCACTATGGTAACACAAGATGGCACCACCATCACAGTCCCTGCCCATGATGCGGTCATCTCTTCTGCAGGAACACATTCCGTAGCGATGGTTACTGCAGAAGGCACCGAAGGACAGCAGGTAAGATATTATCCTGCGTACATATGTAATGTTCCTTTATAAGATGATATAAAATAGGCACCTAAGCCATCACAGTTCTGTCATTCACATTGATTTATCTAAGTAAAGCGTTTTTCAGGACCTGGCCATAGCATTTCCCTCATAAGAGTATGATATGTTCTACTCCAATGCTATACATCAACATATGGCAGGATGTTTTAAAAACAATCAGGCACCAAGAAAAAATTCTGAGGTACCAGTCTCGTAATTCATTTAGGTGTATGTAAAGTAAGACCTAGAAATGCTAAGCGTTTTCCCCAAAGTCACATAGTAAATGAGTGGCAAAGTTAAGAATAGAATCCAGTATGAACTGTAACTTTATCACTTAATATTATGGGACTGTAATTTATTTGGCAGATAGGAAACATTTGTGTAAGTATGTATTAGTGGTTTTGTTTTTAATATATGAATACAATAGCCAACTTTTTTAGTAGAAATATAGTGATATAATTTTATAATCTTTAAGTTAAAATGCATTCCACTGTTCATTTTCATGTGGCGCATTTTAGAAGATACTTATTAATCACTGTATGTATAAATAATCACAGGCTTACAGGCACATTTATTGAACTTCTGTGCAGTTCTGAGGATATTTATATTTTGAGAGCTAATAGATAACTTTGGGAACAGAGTGGTGGCAACCTTTCTTAAAAAATGTATCTTTTGCACAATAAAATTATGCTCATGAATAATCACAGCTTTGAATTTAACTTTAACTTTGAAGATAACTGTTGTATGGGGTCAGTAACAGATCTGTCATCTAGTTTATTCTCTTCCTTTGGTCTTGGAAGGTTGCTATTGTGGCTCAAGACTTAGCAGCATTTCATAGTGCCTCATCAGAAATGGGACATCAGCAACATGGGCACCATTTAGTGACTACAGAAACTAGACCTGTTACATTGTTGGCTACATCCAATGGAACACAAATTGCAGTACAGGTAAGATGGTGATCAATGTTTTTTGGAGTGTTTCTTACTCATAGAGCCAGAAGCTCCTGGTCATGTAGCAACACGATTCGAATAAGCTTGGCTTCCCTGAAAAAAGAGTCCATAACCATATGATCTCATATTTTAAATAATATATAGGGTTAGGAAGAGGAATAATAAGCACCTGATTTTCCAAATCTACTTGTAGAACTTCCAAAAAAGGGGGAGGTTAGGGGAGTGCCAAACTTGAGGTCAACTGAATCGTTCATGGGGTGACGGGTTTTCAGTGGAAAAGTGCTTTCATTCATCCTTCAGCATTACATATAGAGCTGATACGTATAAAGCCAAACTCTCAAGGGTAAATTGCTATGAACTTATACAGATAAAATTACTGAATTTATGTTATTGAAACCTTGAAATGCTAATAGCAAAAAAGTGTAAACAGTTATATAGAAAGTTTAATAATCAGAAATCTCTGGAAATAGTAACCTCCTGTTTACATGTCAAAGCAGCACTCTCCGTAAATAATTTCTCACATTGTCCAAACACTGTAATGAAAGAGTAATTTCTAGGGGTGAAAGAGTTTAATTTAAATTGGGCTAATTTAAAAGAAAGTGGAAACCAAGCACAAATTAAGCTTTTTTCTAGAAAGTAACCAAAACCAAAACCTAGACAAGTATTTTTGTGAATAGTTTATTCAGAGGGAAGCTTGGCTTGACTGGAAGGTTGAACTAAACTTCTAGCACAAATAATGCCCAATATGCTACCTTACTCAAACATTAGATTAATTATGTGTATATTTTATTGTTGTTACATATGATATGATGGTAGGTTAATAGAAGCTTTTGGAAATTTTAAATCTGGAAGATTTACTATTTTAAAAACTCAACACTTTAAATGATATTGCAGTCAAAGGTCAAAGAAATGACCGAAGGATCTTAGGGAAATTGCCACTCCAATGACAGAAGCCAATTTTAAACTCAAAGTAAAATTAAAGGATTTGAATTAGTTTAAATTTGGGGTTGCATAGTAGTATCAGTCCTGCAAAGTGCCTAATACTTTTGGTCCAGCTCATAGCCCTTTTGATTCTGTACTTAACTATATGCATAAATAAGTCCAGTGAGAATGTAATGAAGCTACCTTTGTATTCAAATTTACTGTGGAATTGGGACTCAACACTTGATAGGTTTGATCCTGTTGTTGTCTGGGTATCACCACAGACACACATTTTGTTCTAGAGAACATGGATAATGACAGGAACCATATCTCCTGAAACAATATACAATTAGGAGGAGGATAATTTTCATGGATGTGGTACACCCTATGAATTTCAAAGGCAGTTGAGTATATGCAACTGTCTTGAGTATGGTTTGCATGATGGGCCTTAGCTCTGACAAACACCATTATAAAAGAACATCAATGTGGCTATGCAGAGAGGAGATGCTCAAAAGAGTTTCTAAACAAATCAGTATTAAGCAGTGTAGGTTAATATGTGTTCTTCAAAGGTTCTTGGAAATAGCTTCAAACAGAAAAAGAAATGCAGAAAATGCACTCAAAAATTTCATTTCTGGGGGTAAAACATACTTTGCATGTGGAATTTCGTCAAACTTCACATTTGCTGAAACTAATACGAGATCAAAACCTTTGAGCATTTGAGTCTCAGGATTAATGCTGCAGTCTAAATGTATGTATGCACAGTACTCTTGTAAGAGCTCAGATTGAAAGGAATTGTGTTAATATCTTCAAGCAGAAATGAGGGATTGTTATTTTCCCCTTTGTTATAGGGAAAATAGCAAGTCAGATGCTGATAGAAGAGCAATGAAAGTCAAGATGCTCTTAATTCTGAACTCCTGTCTTTTAAGCTAACTTGGCAGTAATCAAAACTGCCTGTAAGAGAAAGCATATCAGAAGGCAGTTGTTTGCATGAGAGGAATTAAGAAAAGTAACCTGTACCCTCAGCAGTGTGTCCTTTGAATGAAAGGAAAACATAGGCACTCTCTGCACATGTCCCTCTTTTGTTACTAGCAGTGAAACTTTTGGTGAAGGATCTTTATATTAATTAAACTTAAAATATTCAATACAAATAAGAGAGAGAATTCAAAATTAAAATGTTATTGATTATTCCTGAGTTCTTGATTGTTTCTCTTTTGTACTTTGGTACTAATAAATGAATCCATTTGGTTTCTAAATACTGATAAAGCCAATAGCCTGATAGCCAGATTGAATTCCTAAGGAGGTGGTAACAGAGCTGGTCTTGATTTGAGTGGCTCCAGAATGTGATATTCAGTGACTGTAAAAGCAAGTTACACGAGATATTTAGAACTGTCCCATTAGGTCTATCCATCTGTCAAATAATCTGGTTTTACTTTTCACACTCTCATGCATCTTTCTCCTGAGCCAATAGGTAATGGCCAGTGTTATGTTTTTGTTAGGTTGAGGTTGCCTTCAGTGTTCTTCACTGGGCATACGTGCATGGTGTACATATTATAAAACTCCATGGATTCTTTCTGTAAATTGTGTCCAGTTGTCTTTATTCAGAGTTGGTTGATGTTGCTTCTGACAGTGCCAAATACATTGATGGCCTTGTAGTTGCAACTACAAGATAATTTCCTCTCTAAACTACTGTAGAATCAAACAGTGTCATTGTGACTGCTTTTTTATACAGTCAGGATTCTGCAATAAGTGTACACTTTTTATATGTGTATATATATATATATATTAATGTCATATGGTGTTCCAAAGAGCTAGCTTCCTGCAAAAGACTTAAGAAAAATGAAGATGTTTGTTTGCTTTGCCAGTGTTAAAATGTAATTCAGCAGCCACCATGACTTTTGAAAGCCTTATCTTGGCTTTGTTATATCTGCCAAGTTGAAATATCATCTACTTTGTGTGTCATGAAATGTGTTTACTGTGCAGCAGTTCTTTGAAGAAAATTTATTCGGTAGATACATAGAAACTCTGTTTCATTTGCTATCAGAAGCTATCTAATTGTCATGCTGATTAGATAGCTGCTAGTATATATTACCCAGAAGAGGTGTGACAATACTGATCACACTTATTTGCACTAAAGTATTGATCCATATCTAGATTTTTGGTTTCATCTTTTAATTTTTTTTTTTATTTTACACATTTATATCCATATGTAGTATTTTGGATTTATTTATGTTTAAATTCATTTGTTTCAGCTTGGAGAACAACAGTCTCTGGAAGAAGCCATTAGAATAGCCTCCAGAATACAACAGGGTGAAACACCAGGGATTGATGATTAACTTCTAAAACTGCTACCAGAACAATAGAGCGAAAGGTATTTTATTTTCAATCAACAAAGGTCCATGCCAGCAGCAACCCATAAAAACTTTGAAGTTCCCCGCTCATTGATACTGTGTACACATTTTATGCAAGAGTGAAGAACATTTTCTAAGTTTTGTGTACATAACCCTTGGAATGGACTGACATCATCTACTTCCAACCATTGTATATTCAGGAATATGGAATTAGGATTATATAGTAAATTTCCTTGTTATCCTTTCATCAGATTTCAGACTGGTCTACAAGCAAGTGAAAAATTAAATAGAAGTATTGGAATTAATTTTTAATGTCATGTACAAATAATGAAGGCGTTACTGAAGATTTCAAATGTTTAAAATACTATTAAAAATCATCATTTTGGGAACCCTTACAAGTAATAAAGACAACAAAGCCTTTTAAATTGCATTCCATAAATGGAAAAATCTTGGATTTTGAGCCTACTGCAAATCTTCGTGTTTTGATTTGTTTCATACAGATTTGAATACCCTTTAGATTATCCACCCCATCTCATTCATTGTAAATATAGACTGTTAATGCTGGAAGTGCTAATTATATTATCTTTAAATTGGATTATGTACAAAGGAGAAACTTTGGTTGTTCAATATTAAAGGAAGTAAATCTAATGATTTTGTTTCTTTACATATTTTACTTAAGATGTTACTCTCAAATTATTATGCAATAAAATATAGCAAGATTGTATTGTCTAGATAGGATGATATTGTTGTGTGACGTACTGTTTTACTTTTTAATGAGACTGAAGTTCAAATTATTTATTTACGGCCTTGTATAAATTTTTCCAAAGTTTATTTATCATAAACTTGAATTTTTGACATAATAATTTTGATCATAATCCACTATAGTGTATTAAGTAATTAGTGTTAATAGTTATTTTAAACATTCTAAAACACTACAAGAATGATTAAAATAGTAATTAGTCAACCGACTTTGACTAAAAAGTAAACTACCTGTTTTCAAGAGGAATATTTTCAAATGGTGCATTTGCGGCATAAGTACAAGTACCAATAGTCCATTTTCAACAGTTCTGAGTGCCTGCTGCTACCATTCAGTACCTAGAATATGCTGATAATCAGTGCTTTTGAAAATCAGGACACAAGTTACTAGAAAAAAGGGATTAATTAATGATGATGTAAGTACAGTGCTCCTCTCCACCTATCATTCTGTAAAGGAAAAAAATCTGTTGTAGATATGTCTAACACATACAGTAAAAGGTAACTTTGAAATTTTTTATATGAAAAAGTGTCTTTACTCTTGTCTTGTTAGTAAGCTTGTTAAGCAAGTTAAAATTTTTTGGCTTCATGTAAGATTCAGTGCTTATTTTAGATGAGTGTCAAGAGCACTTCTGAAACTGAAGCCTCACCTTTTACCTTCTCAAGGGAAGGAAGGATTAAACATCTTCTGGATGAAGTGTTAATCAAGTAATCATTTTGTAAGTATTGTGAGGTACACATTTTACATAAAAAATAAAGTCTGTAACTACGTACCTTGAGGTATTTGACCTCAAAAAGGCCAAGTTTGAATAGAATGAAGCTAATTTATTGTGAATTACTGTATCAGTGTGGGTTGCAGCCTTTTATGTTTTTCATACAGATGGCCAACTGAAAAGTGCAGTGAAAGAATACAGTACTGTGGGATAGATGTGGGCAAAGCAAAGGCTATTCTCTGGATCTATTACAAAGTAGTAACTTGGAAACACTGAGGTTGTCTGTAACTTTTGTATAGGATTGAGGCTGCTTGCTCACTTAGGTGCCAGTTTTCCTGAAGTGTTGTAATTCTTGATATCCCATGGAGATAAATGTACTATGCAAGGAGGATTAATTGCCTGTCAACTAGATCAGTTTCTTAGTACTTACCACTTTTTAGAAATTAAAGACGTATCATTTGACATGAATGTTCAAGGTTTTTTTTCTTCTTAAATTTCATTGCTAATAGTTTCCGGAAACAGTGGCTGGAACGGTGGCTTTGACTTAGCAAAGAAATAACTTCAGTTCTTCTCATTTCCCAGGACATTTTCTGACCGCTGTACAAATGTGAGTATTCTTTCATACTAGTTGATTTGCTGCAAGGCATTCAGAACTAGCTTAGTCAGGAAAAGGTGAAGTATTTTGAAAATTATTTCTCTTACTGGTGTCTTACCAGTTATTCTTGCAAAACTCCCAAGTCAAAGGTTGTCCTTCCATGTTGTGCTAGCTACCCCTATAAAGGAAAACATACTGAATAAATAAGCCAAACTGACTTAGACTGCTTAGTGTTTACAGAGAAGCTGAGGTGATTATATGCTTCTTAGCTGTGAGGCCTGTATTCATAATAGACTTGTTTTCAGAGTGGAGAGACCTGTGCAATTTTCTACCTTGCTTCCATTCAGACCGGAGTGGAAGGAGCTGTTTTGGTAAGCTGATGCTGCGTGTTGGTCTTGGAAGGACCTGTAGTGGAGATTAGACAGGACTAAATCCAGTTAGATAGGAATACTGGTGAAAAGAATTTCAGGAGGAGGAAACAAAGAATATGACAAAAAGAATTGGGTGTTTGGCAGTAGAAATCTCTATCCTTTCCCCATAGATTTTACTCCTCTTTTTGAAAGTTCTGTCTCAAAGGGAATGCTCTGGCAGACTAGAAGGAAATAATTTGTAAAAGAGGAATCCTATAAAGCAACTCAGTATATCACTTCCTCTTACAAACTGGCTCCCACATTTCCAGCATTCTCAGTCACAATTCTTTCAGATCTGAATTACAGGCCTACACCAACTCCTCCCTTAAAGGAATAAACCCAAAATCTCTGTAGACTTTGCAGTCAACTTTTCACTTTTAAATGTTTCTACGGTTTTTCACCACTGTGGGCTTTGCTTTTCTTTACTGTAGTTCAGTGCCTCTCCTGATAGTAAAAAGAGAGAGGCAATTATTTTCAGTGCTCCAGGCTGATGACCTATTGTGCCAGACACACTACGCATAACAATAGGACAGTTCTTTTTTACCCTAAAGAGCTAATGCCAAAGCACACATGAATAGGCTGGGGCTGGAAGACTGTGTTTTTATAAGAGTAAATCCTGAAGCCTGACAACAAAGTTGTAAACAGCCATAATCCCTGATGGTATAATTAATCTCAGCAACCCATCAGCTGACCGATACCAGAGATATTCAGGCAGTGTGGGAGAAAAGGCATGTGGTGTCTGCTTAGCACACGAGAAGGACAGAGCTGATAGTCCAGGTAAACACAATGTCTGAGTTTGGAAGGCAGTTCTTCCTAAACTTTACTCTAGTTTCTAACCCTCATAACACCTCAAATGCTGCTGGGAGTAATTTGTTTGACTGGGTGCTCTGGTTGCTGTGATGATCATGCGGTAGTACAATATGGAAAAATCACTGCATACTGTGTACTTCTGAGTGCAGAGTCAGGGAGCCTTCCCCAAGGACAGGAAGCTATTTAATCGGTATTTAGCCACCAAGAAAAGATGGTATGGAGTAAGGATCTGATCAAGAGTGTTTCTGAATCTGGCAACTTCAGCACTACAGCTGTTGAGGTTAGTCAGATTGCACACCTTAGGCTGACCATAGCTTCTACTTACCAAGGTGCATTAGTGTCCTATAACAGACCTATTCTAGTCACTCTTAGTTTGTTATTGAATGAAAGTAATTAAATGTTCTGTAAAATTTTCTGTGTAATTCTCAAATAGAGCACAGATGAAATTTCAGTAATAGTTGGGTGGGAAGCAAACTGATTTTCATAAGCGTTAAGAGACTGGAAATGAAGGGTAACTTGTGTTCTGTTCAGCTGTTTACAGTTGTTTGGAACTTTAAAAATATATTTATTCAGCCTGCATCATTTTTGTCTTGAAAAAGAGAAATTAACACATGCCTTGTCTTTGCAGATGCATAAATTCAAACTCCAGCTGGTTGATGACAGTAAGGTACTCCTATTTTTTTTTTTTGCAAAGCAGTATATCTTTGAACACCAGATCCCCCAAAAGTATTCTTTGCTCCATTGATAGAAACCTTGGACCCCTATGACAAGAGACCAAAAAATCAAGAGCCATTTTCAGTTCTTGTGTTGTAAATAGTACACTACACTCCAAATAAGGCATAGAAACAAGCATTTTTTCTGGTGTTACGTGTATTTTAAAATGCAGTTTAGGTGTTGCCAGCAGTTTGGCATTCCTTTGATGCTATTTTTCATTCTGCTAGAAAAGTTCACTTCGTCAAAGGAAAATAACAATCTAATTAGACCATCACCATTAGCAGTAAGTGGTTGACACCTAACCCTATCAGGAATGTGATACCAGACTTTTTCAGCTGAGAGTTATATTCAAAGCAGACTTTAATTATCCCAATAAACATAGAAGCTTGTATCAACAAGCAAGCATTTTTTGTCCTACACGCTCTTTGTATTTCTCTCTAATGGAAATGTGACCCCCTTAAATCCTATCCATCTCAGGTTCTGAAACAGTAAGAGATTTTATTTGGATTATTTTTGTTCCATTTAGATTATTTGAAGCATTTTACTCAGGGCATGGCAAAAATTTACACTTTCAGGGCACAAGTGATTGTGCAGAATTTTTTCTATTAAAAAAAGTGTCTTATGTTACTGTCAAAATCCTAGCATTTTACTCTTGCCTTTGTTTAAATCCCATACCAGCCTTCAGGTTGACTGGCTGCTGTGTTTTACTTACTTTTCTGGGGAGTTTTAGACTCTCCATCATGTTACTGCTTGATTCTGTAGTATTTTGCTGAGGGGCTTCTGAGCAGGTATCTTAGGCAAGACAAGGAAGAGAGGCTGACTTCCTAACATCTGGCAAGTCTGCTGGCATAAGAGAAACTACCACATGACTGTAGAAGGCTCATGGAGAAAGGACAATGTTCCAAAGCTACATCTCCAGTGGGCTTTTTGCTTTGGTGTAGAGCTAATTCAGATTTGAATACAGGTTGTAATGACTGGAAAATCAAAGGACAAGAATGGTTTGTGGGACAGACAGGATTAGCTGCTATTTGTTTTTAAACAGACATATTCAAGACAGTAAGAGACAGATTTTTGAATGTAGGTTCCTGAGGGTGGTGTTAGTGGGAAGAAGGTGGCTGAGCCTCTTGAAACCCTTACTAGCGTTTTATCTTTTATCTGCATCTCTGAAAAATGTTTGCAGAATGTCTTACTTTAAGTGACATGCGTAAGAGATTATTAAAATGAATAGTAGTAAATTTGGAAAAAGGCCGAGTACCTCTTTTATGGTTTTGCATGTTCCCTGAAGGAGAAAAAGGCAGAAGGCTTGGGATACTGGTAAATTTGTAGTGACTAGTTTCTGTGCATTAGACATTTTGAGGTTTTTAATTGCAGATACAAAATCTTGACTTCTATTCTGATCATTTTAACTTCACTTCAGCGCAGGAATGAGGCATTCTAATTGTACTTGTTTTCAATCATAGCAATCATTCTGTCTCTCCAACTTTTAGGATGTCTTGGAGGAATTTCTGATCTGAATGCAAATCTCAGGAACAGATTCTTTTGCCACTTTCTTTGTAAGCAGATATTTCAAGTGTTAAGAGGCAGACATACAGGCAAAAATGAAGTCACTAAAAACTCTTAAGAGTGCATGCTGTCATAGTCACAGAGAAACACTGAATTGTACATGACTGCTTGGCAAAACCTGTGCTTTTTTTAATGTACCTTGTACATTATAACTTCTGAGTATCTTCAGATCTTCCCTTAAATTCCCAGATTTTGGGCCCAGAAATTGCTCTTTACTTTGGGAAGCATCCTAGGTGCTGTCAAATTCCCCATTCTATTCTCCACCTTGTTCTCTTGCTCTTATTATTTACACTTCCTGAGTGAATACATCCTTGAGAAATGCTCTATCTGCATGCAGGCTATAGGCTAAAAAGAGTAAAAGCACTGGGAGCATCAACTACAGGCATGTCTTTGGACACAAAGTCCACCTTTGATGAAGAACCTATTCAACTCTGGACCTTGTAACAAATAAAAAGAGGTTGCCAGCTAACAGCAGCTGTTAGGAGCACAACCCCAGATAAAATAGTCTTTAAACTGTTCACCTTTAAGCTGTCAGTGGCCCAGAGACAACATCTCCCAGTTGGCTGGCACAGTACCACTGAGACCTGTTAGCCCTGTATATGCCAAGCCTTCTGTGAACACTGGAATGCCATCACTGGCACTGGTGACAAGCATGCTAGTCCCTAGGTACCTGCTGGAACCCAAGAGAAAAGCTGGGAATAGCACAGATCTGTCCCTGCTCTCAGTTATCCAGCAACAGCCCTGGCACAGGTGGCTGTAGTGTTTCTATTTTTCATATAAGCAACTTAACCTTCCTCCTCTTCTGCTTTTTCACTCCATTTACTCTTCTCATAATAAGAGGAACTCATCATAATTTCACGACTATGCTGGCTGATGTGGAATGGGTTTCATACAGTTTTTGGCAGAACTCTTCCAATTTGATCAAAGTGGTTTTGGGAGACTGCAGATTAACTTATAAGTGCAGGAAATCCTGACAAGATGGCAGTGTACCCACTTCTGTGGCAGTTTCCTCTGACAGCTAGACAAATTGGCCATTGTTCCATTTCTTTCCCATTCACCATTATTTGGGTTCCCCTGATACCCACAAAAGAGGGAACAATGGTTTCCCTTGAAAACTCCTAGTTAAAAGCAGCTGTTTGTCAGTAAGTGTGTGCTGCCCCAGATAAGTATTTCTGGTAGCAAAATCTTCAGTGCACCAGACTGATATACTTATTTTTTAATTTAAAAGCAAGTATTAAAAGAAAAAAACAAGCCAATTTTGCAAATATACCCTGAAAACCCTTAAACCACTCAAATTGGTAGGAATATCAGTCAGGCACTGCCTGGAGATCAGGTTACGTGCTGTTACATCTATTTGGAGAATCAGGGCTTTAATTTGCAAGAACTACAGAGGCTCAAAGATGCAGTTTAATCAGTTTCAGAGAATTTGGGATGAATTTGGCTCAGAGAGTATGGCACAGTGGAAGCCTGCAGAGCTCATCCCTGCTCACTTCTGTTCCTCCTGTGATGATGTCCATTGCTAATGTGCTCTCTGCCTAAGGGAACTGGCTCTGCAGTGCTTTTTAGTGAGGCTGTTTATAGCCCTCCTAATGCTGGTTATAGTCATGTCATGGTGGACAGGATAGAGTTGCCACACTCAGTCTGGGGGAAAATCATCTTCTCTTCAACACAACCGTTTATGGTCCTGTCAAACTACAGTAAAAGAACAACTGATGCAAATTTAGAACAGCACATATGTAGAGCCTATGAACGCGGTCCTTATATAGTAACTATGCATTTTGTTATAGTTACATATTTAATCAGTACTTCTCTTTCTTATTTGCTCTTGGTTTGGAAATAAACTTTCTTTTAAAACAATTATGTTACTGCTGTTTCTTTCTTTCTCTCTTCCTTTTTTCCTTTCCTCTCGTATCTGTCTTCTCTTCAGAAATACTTCTTTCTCTGTACAAACTCTGAATTGTTCCATCTGATTTTGTCCCAATTAAACTGTTCCAGTGATCAGCAATTCATTACTTAAAGTCTATACAATAGGGCTTCTGAATTTCAGTTTGCCACTTACCCTCACTAAATACCCGTGTCTGTAGACTCCAGAAAGCAATGCAGCACCAGTTACGTTTAGGTTGAGTTTGAGAAGGAGACTGCAGCTTCGACGTTTCAGGGCGAGGGATTCATTGAAAGCTTAAATTGTTTAATCTTTTTTAAAGAAAAGGAAACATCATATATGACTGAAGTAGGCCACAGCTAGTGGCTGGGATTTTTGAGTCACTTACTAGGAATTGCTTTGCATCTCCCTCTGTGGGCTATTAACTGAGAAAGAGATGGAGGTTATATTTTTTAAATAGCCTTCTCTTACATCAACTGTTCTAAAACTTGAATGCTTCAGTTAGTATTTGCTACACAGTGCATTTCAGTTTTAAAAATGAGTATTTTTAATGGGACATTATTGTGATTAATCTAAATTAATTGCACACAAGCATGTTTACAGCACATGGCTTGATGTAGCTGTACCTCTGTAAATGCTGTCCAATCCCATTTTCATAGGTTATGTTGGCTACTTTCAGTTTTCTAAAACTAGTTTTCAAGAGGTTTCTATAATCTCAAAAATTGTGTTCTCGTGGCTCACTGCTGCTTGTCCTGAAAACAAAAACTGTCTTAAGCTTTCAGGCCATTGAAAGTGTGAGAAATATGTAGGGATGTGATATTTAAGCAGAAATGTTCCTATGTAGGCCTTACAAAAAAGAAAAGGGTAGTGACTCATGCATCTTGAGGCAACGGAGCTCTGAGCAAAACTGTTTCACTGCGCAGGCAGAAGGAGTCTGTGTGAGTATGGAGTTATATTGACGGCTGGTCCGCTTAGCCAAATTAATTTAAAATGCTTTTATGTTCGTACAGTGCCAGTGGCACAGGCAGTCGCCCACACACACGCTACAGGTTCAGTCCCTGCAGGGTACTGGTGAGAGCCCGTGGGGACAGTTGTGCCACCCTGCGTGGCAGCTTTTTGCTGAGAAACAGGTGTTTTCAGGCAGAAGAGGTTATAAAAAAGGAATTGCTAGCAGAAGTGGAGTATGGGCCACTAGCATCCCTATGGTGTTTCTTAGGTCCCAAAAGCACGTGGGCTTGGAGACCAGCAGTTGTGCAAACAGCACTGGTGTGAAAAGGGGAGAAAAATGTATCCTGGTATTTTTGGTTTGGGCCTCAGTAGAAATCTGTCTAAAAATAATTACCTGCTGGACATACAGGTGTCCAGTTTCAGCAGGCAGCAGAAAAAGGCCTCCGAGCCCCACTGTTGACCACAGCCGTTCTTTCAGCAGCAGGAATGTCTGGGCCCTGGCTGTGGCCACGGGAGCTGGAACCATGTCCGAAGTTGCTTGTGAGGCTTCTGCCCACAGACATCGGAGACCAGCGACAGGAGATGGGCAAACAACGGAAGCATGGTTAAGTACAAACTTTTGTTTTCTATTGATTGGGCCTTAGGTGTTTCAGTTGGTTATCTTTGGAGCTTTCAGACTCACAGACTGGTGCTGCTCACTGTCGAAGTGTGCCATTTGCAGCAGATGAGGTTTTTGTACCCCAGGCAAGGAGAGGTAGGTTTCGGGGAGGAGGCTGGTGGGGGGGCATGGGCTGAGAGAAGAGGGGCTGTGCCACAGGGTCCCGGCATCCCGCGTGCCCTCAGCTCTCAGGGAAGCAAAGCCCTGGCACTACCTGCAGGTCCAGGGGACGGTGTGCCTGCCCGGAGAGCCTGGGGAAGCAGAGAGAAACTCAACAGCGATGCACACCTGGCTTGCTTCGCGTTGTTTGGAGCTCCCGGGGCTGGAAAAACCTGCTTATTTCAGGGGTTACCCAAGGGGTTCATTTTAAGGTGATTTGATAGAGGAGAGAGATTGGCAGGTTTATTTGTTCAGTTACATTTAATCAAGGTGGTGCGAGATGGAAAACGAAGCCGAGAGGCAAAGTTGTGGCATCTGTAGGGAGGTGGCCTGACTGTTAAATGGCATCTGCTGCAAAATCGCATATGCCGTGCCAAGACTCTTTGATTCGTTTAGAAATGTCTCGTAGGAGTTACCATTAACAGCACGGGGTGCTGTACTGGAGGCTCCTGCGTTTCTGACTGCGTTTCAAGTCACGCCAATAGAGGTATTTGGAACGTATTAACTCTTCGGCTTAGCTAAAAAAGGCCGCCTTCACCTGGCCTAAAAGGAGTTGTTACTGTGCTGAGGCACATGCGGTGGCGCGCTCCTCCAGCAACCGAACGGGAGCAAAGCAACCTTGCTGGGAGGCGGGGAGCTGCACCCT